AATGTATAATAGGATACAATGGCTTTAATTTTACACGTAAAAGTTTCATTATTTGCAAATCCAGCAAATCGTATAAATGAAGTTCAAGTGCGCGACATAACCGTTAACTGAAGCAACTTTGAAGTTGAAAATGTTTTCTGTGCAGTTGTAACTTTAAATGTTTACCTGTTTACATGCTAATATGTTATACCATGTCAAAACAACCGCACTATACTGCAACGTGCACGGGAACTACTTGGAGCTGTGTATTTACTTATTCGTTTGCTTCTGGAAACATTGTCGCTCTTGAAACATGGAAACATTCCTTGACCATACTGGGCGTTCTAGTGTTGGCATTTTTATGGACGTGTCGATGACGCAACGCGAAAAACTTACAATTTATTTACCAAAGTGACATCAACCTATTAAAGGAAGTTTAAAGTAGCAGAGTACTCAAAATTCCATAATCAGTAAACAATAACTGTTCAACACAGTTATTATTTAATACAGAATGAGGTTCGTATTCAACCAGCATTTATGCATAACCTAAATTATGATTAACGTTGTACTCGTGTGCAAAAATTGATGTAATAAAAATCTATCGTGTGGATGAAATTGAACAATATCGATTTATAGATTAAAATGAATACTTTCGTGAATTATTGAATGCTTGTGGGCGGTGTACCCCGCTAGGCAACACACCTTACATCGCTTTTATTCGGACGTGTATAATACCAGCGTATAATTAATTATTTTTTACACAACATAACTGTTGATTTGATTTTCTCCATTTTTTGTTTTATGCTATCATAATCTTATTATTAACGCTTGCAAGGTGGAGCATTTTCATGGTGTTATAAAATCCTATCATGCTGAGTACCTTAGTGGTACCATGCAAACATAAAATACAAATATGTAACTTAAACTGAGGACTGAAAAGTAAATAAAGTTAAGAACAAGTTTTGAAATTGAAAAGGAAGTAAAACTAAATGGAAAATAAATATATGAATAGGATATGTTTGTTTAGGTTTAACATTTTAATATTTTTGAGTTAGGTTCAATATTACTTTTTTGAAAAAAGAAAAATTCTATGCGTCTAGGGTGATAATTTAGGATGAATCATACATTTAGTCACTTGATCACTCATCTATTCAGTATCCTAGCAGATGATAAAACTGAATTTGCTCGGGGATTTGCGAATTTCCGAATTTACGAATTCACTTGTTTTGCCCCTCATTGTGCGTTAGTATGTAGTTTGCGGGGGCAATTGTACGGAATCGTGCTCAATTCCCGACGGGGGTGATTGCCCACGTTTCTCTGAGTAGACTACATCCCTTCAGCATGACAACATCCCTTACTGGCAGTAGTGCTTATGCGCTTAGAAGACGAGTAAGTAGTGCGCATTGACATGAAGTGAAGTCGACGTTAGCAAACGGGTGTAATCATCCGGGGGTTAGTAGGTTAATGTTTCGGTTTTGTCCGCATCGATGTAATCAAGTTGGACGCGCATTGGCGGTTCGCCAAATGTGCACATTTTGGAATTGGTATTTTGGTGACGTTTACTGATATGCGAAATTCCCAATGCACCACTGCAACAGCCGCAATCGAGGAGTGAATTTAGGTTACGCATTTGGTAACATTTCATTTGGACAAATTTGACAATTATCTCATTAGGCATGAAAAAGAAGAAAAATATAATTTGATAAGTGGATGTTTTTTTTTTTTAATTTGTTGTGTAATTCGTCCTCATTCAGGAAGTAAACGAAAATTCAAGTTGTTGACACGAAACACTGCATTCATTGAAATGCATTCCGGCATTGTAAAAATTCACACACAGCATCAACTCTCGACTCTCCCAAGCAACCGCGCAGGTAATTGCCATTGGATCATGAACTTGAACTTTTTTCTTCCTCCTTGACTGTGTTTTTTCTCTGGCTGCTTTTTTCCTTGTTCGCTAACTACATAAGAACGTGTACAATTAAGTCTATGCACACATACTCTAAAATATACAATGTGTTCACAGGCATTAAACATTTACGAAGTTTGAAAACACATTGAATGTTTTCTTCAAAATACAATTTTTATATTTATGTGAACATAATGTATTAATTGTTGGTAAAGTATAATATTACATAATCGCATAATGTAATTACGCGCGATTATTTAAAACTCACTTCACTTGACTTCCCATTGTTTGAAAGAAGCGCTTGTAAGTAATATCCCTTTCTCGGTGCTGTGATGATACGTCTCGTTTGGCTTTGACGTCGACGTCGACCTCTTCTGCATGTGTATGTGTGTGTGTGTGTGTTTTTATTCCCGCACGCAACCGAAGAAAGAATATTTCACGGCTAGTGAATTATAAAGAACTTAACCGCGAACAATAACGTTAATCAACACGACGCAACCCACTATACACATAAACAATAAACACAAATGAAGCTCGTAAAACAAACGAAAGGTAATGAAATGCAATCAAACAATCGAAACAAATGAACTCAACGAAAGGAATCGAATAAAGTGAAATCCATTCAAAGAGTGTAGCAAATAAATAACATGAAACAAACATACAGTTTGTTAAATTTAAAATGTTCTTGTTAGAAAACGATCAACTGCGATTAACAGCATTGCCACGTTTGTTTACTTACGGCGTTTACATTACCATTACCTGTGCTTAACTAAAAAAGAGATGCGATTAATTAACACCGGTTTAATCTGTAGTATCTATACTTTTATAGCAAACACATTCCGGAGACGTGTTCGACATTGCAATTGCCATTTTTAAACACCAACACGTTCATTTAGTTGCATACTGTATCGCATAACCTTAAAGTTAATGTGCTGTGCAAGCATAAATGATAATAAATATTGTTGGGATTATTGGGTGCATCTCGTTGCTAATCATCACTTTGCGTTGAAGTGAGATTCAAAGTGCACTAGTTACGGAAGTTCCAAGAACCGGCGCAACGTGATGTGAAATTACACACACATTCTACAATGAGTAAATGAAAACGAAACATGCGATTAGACATAATTAATATGTAGATCATTCATGGGAGCTTTGCGATAAGAAAACACACCGTGAACGCGCTACCAACGCCATCTCTAGTGATAAAATACAAGATAAACGTTGCGATTAACCTCAACTGAAATGCAGAGAAACACGTTTGAAACATGAAGCGTAAAATGATAAAGTTAATGTCGTCGAGGTTTGAAATTATTATTAGAATTATGTATTATTATAATATACAGTTATTACTTCCTCAGCTGGTGATGCGCTACGTAATTTAATATTTCGAGTGTCGTAATCCGAGCAAGATTTTCAATTAGTGAGAGCGCCACCCATAGGTTTGATTAAAAAAGGTTGCATAACACGACGCAACACAACGCGGAACATATTTATAATCACAAAGTTCACAAACTGAATAACATTTTAAAGTATTTTTTCACTAACAAAGAAAAAAATCCAAATCAATTATAAATTATTATTAATAGTTTGCAATTAATTTAATGCGCAGACAATTAATCAAGTTGTTCTACGCCAAACTATTAATAAACATAAGCGAATTGAATTTCATTTTACTTTGTGTTGATGAAGCGGTTAATATATTAATTGCACTCCACTCCGCCCTGTTATTAGTGATCGATTGGCTTTCATTAGTTTCAATTATCTCATGCGCCGACGATTAAAACACGGCGCAGGTAAATACGTTAATTCGCTAATAAATCAATTCGCGCGTTCCGGGGCGGTGTTGCGTTAATAGATTAATTCATTAATAAAACTCTAGCGACGAGTGAAAGAGTCGAACGCGACGGGCGTGATTGATCGATTAATTAATTGAAGCCTTGTGGAACGACCCGTACACATATAACCTCAAACAGGATCAGACATTATCTCATATAACCTCACCTATGACGCATCATTGCATGAACATGCGTATAGTATATTATGCGTACGAAAACGAACGCATGCAATTTCATAGGCGGAGTGTGTTCGAGTATATTAATTAATAAGCGTCGCGGTGATCGTGATGGGACGCCGACGAGCCGACAGTTTGATACATAACTCCAGTTGGGAGAGCCGACGAGTCGGGAGTTGATGGGATTTATTAAGTCTCCATGACGATGCTCGCCGCCGCGCTGATTGCGAAAGAGGAATTAATCAAATCGCGGACGGTTATTAAAATCGCTTAGTGAGACATTGCGCACATGAGCGAGCGCATAAAATTTAATGCAACATGCGTCGAGCCGCACTATGCAATAAAATAGAAGATTCGATTCGGTAAATAGGATTTATTACTATTATCGGATTAATTAGGTTTAGCCGTCGTAATTGAATTTAATTTTCAACGATGCATAGTGTGATTTTCTAAGGTGGCGCCACTTATTGATGAATTATTGAAGTTGCAAACCGGAAAACAATGGTTAAAGTTCCAGTAAATACTTAAAGATCTATAGATTGCAGATTAGAGATTGTATATTACAAATTGTCGATGATTTATTTAGTGCTACGTGTTTAGCTGCAGATCGTGCGACTCGCGACTTGGCAGCCATTTTGCGAGATTACGTGTACGTGCATGACTCGATAGGTTAGTTCCTCACGTGGCACCGAACAAATTTAAATTGCTTTTAACTGGTCGACTCTCACTATACGTGCGCTAGTAGAGTTTAGATTCCGCAAGAGTTGCGCGGAGAGAAAATTTAAATTGGAATAATTGGAAGTGTGTATTGATTGCATAATGCCTGCATGCTGGGATGCACGTGCACACGTGACTAGAGGTATTTATTCTGGTGTGTGTTGGTTTGCCGGCTGGAAGAAGAAGTCGATGGAAGTCTAGAGGTTATTTGCCAAAGTGGCTAATTTGTAAAATTTCCAACCTCACAATTCTACAACATTGCAGATGCTGAAGATATTGAAAATTGAGATCTCGTGCAAATTATAATGGACTTTAATGTACTCAACTTGTACTTAGTAACAAAAAAATCCAATATTAACAAATTGTTTGTATTTTTATACTTTACAGATCTTTTGTGTTGGTTGTCTTCATGGTGCACGTCTTGGAACGGAGTGCAAGAGTGATTGGCAGTGTAAGGAGGACATCAATGGTTCCATGTGTCTCAGAGGGCGCTGCGCGTGTCAGCCATACTTTGCGCGTGTCAATGCCACCTATTGTGTTCAATGTAAGTTAATGTTACTATTACAAACAAATTAAAATCAGTAAATTGTAATTTGAATGCTTTCTGTAAACAGCAACGCTTCTCGGTTACGATTGTGTGGTAGCTGAACAATGTTCCATGAAAGTTGCCAACTCTTCGTGTTTAGAGGGCGCTTGTCGATGTGTGGATGGTTTTCTACAGTTTCGCAAACACACTTGCCTTGGACGTAAGTAAAATTCTTTATTTCAACAACTGGATGTTGTATTGATTGATTACGTTGGTCGTAAATTCTTGTGGAAAATGAAATTTGACTCTCTCTCTCGTTGATGTTTTCTTCCGCGCTTCTCGGAATTCGCTTTTGACCCGCGAGTCGCAAACGTGGCCTATCATTAATCAGTCAATCCTTCGGCGCGCTTCTCACGTCATTGGCATCGACATTACACACTCGACCACTTAACATCCGCGCGTTCGAGGATGAACGTCGCGCTTCACCTTGCTGACGTATGTACTTCTCTGGCGCTCTTTACTTTTAACCTCAATCGTTATTCTACCCTCTTTATTTGTAACAAGGTACTTGCTGTCGTTTTCCTCGAGAACTTGTCGTTGTCTACATAAGTTGATGCGTGAATGGTGGCTGGCAATTTCGTTGATTTCCTCAAAGCATCTCGGCGCGACCCGCGCAATGCAATTGCATGCAATTACAGTCGTGCTGCCGTTTCGACTTAATCAGCGAAATTGCTTTCGATGCGTTTTCGATTCCAGGCCGTAATTCCAACTATCTTGGTTGAGGTGCTGCTACTTTAGATTCGCTCATTTTGTGTTGAACGACGACCTTGCCCACATTGAATGGATACAGGGTGAAGCAGAATAACTCAAAATTTGCACGAATCATAGTTGGAAATAAGAAATAAATTAAATCTTAGTTTGTGTTTTATACTCGTCAGGTCATAAATACGGTTTTAAAACATCTTTTTATACAGAAATATTATAGGTTGATAAAATATGAAGCAGGAAATTAAATTCAAGTATCGTTAAATACTAGGCAACCAAGTATTCATCGACGCTTAGTGCATGTTTTGCTACCATTCCAGCATTGCTATTGCCGTGTTTACCGCCATGTTTGCACTCATTATTGCGCATTAGTACGCGTTTATTCGCCTGAATGCAGTCACAATCTGCAACATTAGGCACTGTACATCACTGACATAATAACACCAGACTATGATTCATTCAGAAAACTCAGCGGAACTTGATTAAAAAGAAAACCGCACAAATTTCTTGCAAAGATTTGCATAATTTGTGATGATCTCGGGTAATTTTCTAGAACATTTCAGGAAGTATATAATGGCTGAACTAAGGTGCTGATAATTGCAAGACGTCGATATAATTTATTAATTTCTAAAGCACAACAACACATAATTAAGCAGGAAGAACTTAAAATGTTACTATAATTGCTACTAATTTTTCACAATTTTCATAAATTAAAATTCCACATTAGGATAAAATGGAAAATAGTTTTTAATGATATTGTGAGGCATAACGATTTATTTATTATTGGATGGCGCTACTTAGCACACTCATTTGTTGTTAGTTACCGGCAATATTACATTTTGTAACTTATTGCACAAACAATTTCGATCAAGTGCATATTCGCGTTTATTGAATACGTGCTCATGCTTAAATCTCCGCCGCATTCCGCTTTGCGCACGTCGGACACGCACGCCGCCACACGTTTAATACGTTACGTGCCTTTTGGACTCCGACTTTGACTTTAACTTTGCTTTGCTCGAATGTTTAAGCTACGTGTGGTGACTTAGCGCACTTGCATATTGCAGTAATACAATATTCGAGCTTTTGCATTCATTCGTCGTACGAGTTTGACTGGTTGCATATTTGTGGTTTTGTCGAGTCTATATGAAGTTACATCGCATCGCATTAATTATAAAGTTCATGCACCTTTTTTTGTGGAATGTAATATATGACGTTTTTGTTTTAAATGTTTAGTCATATCTTTTTTTATTCTTTTATTTTCACGGCAGCCTATTACGATTATGTTAATGTCGAAAGTGTAAGTGTTGCTGACATGTGTTTGCGCGGTGAAGTTGAGGAAGCGTGATTACATCTTGTGTTTTGACTTAACTTGTTCATCTTTCCGATTATTACACATTCATTTTTTTTTCGGTTCCTCTTCGTTGCCTCGTTATTCTTTCGTTTGGAGGAGCATGCATATATTTCGTTTACTTTTTGCGTCGGGTCTTGCCCATCAACATTCTCTTATTCTATGCTGGTACATACATCAATTTTCATTCTTCATAAGTCATAATATTTTCTGTTTCTTTATTTGTTGTGCTTAAAGTAAAAACAAAAGTCAGCACAAAGAGCGCACGCAATTTAAACAAGGTGCTCAAGTCGTGTTACGAAAGAATGGATGCGTTTAACTTCCAGTACGGTTAAATGCATCATGAAATTGCATTTTATTTTTTTACATTTTGAAAAGCATATTAAGGGAATAATATAAAAAATTTGAAATGGTGTCATTATCGAATAAGTATAAAGTTTAGAAATAACTGAAATTAACGGTAATTCTTGAGGTAATTTACGTTTACAACTTCATTTACATGAAACGCGAATTGCCGTATTTTCGCTTTGATAATTATAGATTTACATGACGTGACAAATCTCTTCATAGCTATACCAAGTCAAATTCTTAACTAAAGAGCAAAGTCAATCTGTAAACAATTCTTGTTACTATTCTCATTATTCTCATCATTCACATTCAAATTCTCCTTTAACATTCTCGTTACATTCGAATTTACGAGCGATTCGTCTGGCGATTTCTTTCCTCGTTAAAGCTTAAAGCTCTGCGCGCGCATCTACTTCGCGCTCGCGCAAACAATTAACGTGTTCGTAAATTGGTTCCGTCCTATTGTTTGCCAAAGTTATCGTTCGAACGTTAGCATGTTAATGTAAATGCACTTGCTGTTACTATCGGGCGTGTGAAGCATGCGCAATACACACTAGCACACGCACGAGCGCAAAATATTGTGAACATGGCGAGCATGAATACGATCCGATGCGCGTACGGGTTCATTCTTCCTTTCTTTGGTCGTTTATCTTTGGCTTCGCGAAGAAGTTGACTAGGAGAGCTGCGTGTCGCTTATCGGCGCATCTTCGCGCAACACAACCGCGACCTTCGCGAATTTACCGCTAGGATAAACCCAACTGTAAGAAACTGACTGGAAACGAGTTCAAACGAAAAACAATTTGAAGAAAAATCTTCTAATATTTAATGTGTTTCATTGTTTGTTTGGTCTTCTAGCGGCACGTCCTGGAAATGTGTGCTACTCGAACGCCCACTGCAGATTGTGGACGGCTGACAGCCATTGTGACTTTTTGATACCCAACCTCTTCGGACGCTGTCAATGTAATTCTCCATTCAAACAAGTGGGCGATTCTTGCGTTCGCTCCGCCTTTCCTACCACCACTACCCCTACACCGCCTGTAACTCCATCTGTTGGTACTACTGCATCCTCAATACCCACGTCTTTCTCGGCATCACCTCCAGGAGGTGGGACTGTTGGTCCACTCAGTGTTAAGCCTGATCAATCGACAGCACTTCCTGACATCGAAAGTAACTCCATTCCAGATTCGACAAACCCGATTTCGTCTACTCCCTCAATTAAATTTGTGCCGTCCAAATTGTCTACACCCAAACAAATCCACACTACTCATCGACCCGATGTTACCACACGGTTGGCAATTGCAAGACGCAGCACCACCATGGAACCCTATTCAACACCCATGCCCTTGCATGCTGGATTGTTCTCTAGCACCACCACACCTAAACCGTCATTTATGTCAACGTTGACTACTCCTGCCAGCTATAGAACAAGCACTAGAAAGCCCAGTAAGTTAAGATGATATCTTCCTAATATTTAAAACTAAACTTGAGGTTATATATTGCTAGCTTCGAAACCAAGCATCAGAATACGCACAAGAGTGGATGATAGTCATGTAGCTGTTAGTTTGGGGCTACCCTGCGTGACCGATCTGCAATGTCGTGCCGCTGACTCCTCTTCTCGTTGCATCGATGGCGTTTGCGACTGTATTGTCCGTTCGAATTTTACCAGTAGTTGTTCAGCACAGAATCGTGGTTGCATTCCTGGTACATTCCAGTGCCGTAGTACGGGAACCTGCATCAGCTGGTTCTTTGTCTGTGATGGTCGTAAGGACTGTTCGGATGGTTCAGATGAAGAATGCACGTCGACTAAATGTCCAGTTGAAGCGTTCCGATGCAAATTGGGTAAGTCACGTCGTTGTATATCGCGCGCCGCTCGCTGTGACGGCGTCAAAGACTGCCCTGGAGGAGAAGACGAATCAGATTGTCAAGCCATCGGCAAAAAGGGCTGCCCAACGGACACGTTTCAATGCGCCGATGGAAAATGTGTACCGGAGTACGAATTTTGCAACGCCATTATTGGCTGCAGTGATGGTAGCGATGAACCTGCTCATATTTGCCGCGGAAGAGCGCGGCGACGCCTTTCAGAATACTGCCCTCTGCGATGTGGAAACGGTCGATGTCGATCGTCGGCCATTGCTTGCTCAGGACGTGATGGGTGCGGAGATGGTACCGATGAGAATCATTGTTCAGTTTGCAGTAAGTTTACTTGACGCCCTGTTATTCGAAAATTTCAAATGTTTATTTTTATTTCAGGATGCCCTCTGATCAAAAGCAAAGCGTTAGCCCCGAATTAAATTTCAAGAACGAAAATATCTACAGTACTTCAAAAGCAATGTTTAAATAAACAATAAAAAGAACATAATTGAATCGACGCGTAAAAAAATCTGTTTATGTTAATCGATGCCAAAAAAGAACGACCGAAATTAATACGAAATCCAACAAGAGTTTGTTCAAATGTCTCTGCAAACAAAGATGCAGTTGGCATTCAATTGGAAGGAGGGGAACTTAAATGAAAGTACTTGTATTATATTTATTGTATTATTTATTTATATATTTAAATCTATTACATAACGTCTATTACAATTATTCGTAGAGTAAATTGCAACTAAAACTATTGTCCTCTTCAAAGAGGGAATCATTTTCAATTCGATGATAAATTGGAGTATGAATCAATCAGCAAATTCATGCGCGTGACTTATTTGATTTTTTTTGTAAATATTATACAACATTTAAGTTACTGATACACTTTGTATACATGCATTACTCCAGAACTGCGAACAAAGGATATCGGCAATTAAAAGCACCGAATTCCAAATTAATTTGTAATAATTATAAAAGATTTTAATTATTGTAAAATTAAATAATATTCCAAACATTCTGTATCTTGTTTATTTTTATGACATGTTTAACTCCACCGTTTACTACTTACTGTTCGGTAATCATTTTTTTATATTTTTATATATTTAAACATGAATCGTTATCCGTTAGCGACTTAAGATCTTAAGACGTTTGATAACTACTGCGAGGTAATCATTGCAATTAGAAATAAATCAAATTATCATTTCTTATCACCAAACATGTTATTACTGAAGCGTCTTGCGAAATGATTTAATTTCTGTTCTCCATTCCTGTTTTAGTACATATGTAGTTGCCTTTTATGTCGCGGTTTGCCATACGCTGGTAAGTTTCTAATTAAATTATTCGTACTGCTAAAATAAACGCCAAAAATGTATGTGAAAGAATTGTTCTCGTTATCATGCGCTCTTGACGCGTGCTATTACAGCATGCATAGCGAAAATTTGAGTCAGTTTTGTAATAGCTTCGTCGGAACTTGTTTCCCACAATTATCTACCGAAAATTTTATTTTACACACAAAGAATTGATCTTTAAGGTAGCCATAAAACACCTTTAAACGTTGTTCAATTTTCCAGTTTTTCAAAACATGTTGTGGAAATTGACCTGCATTTAGCTAAACGTTTTATATATTTGATTACTTTCTTCACATTTAGATACCGCCAGACATTCTTCGTATGATGCCGCGAACAACAAAACAGCATAATGACATAAAATTATTTTTATATTGTGTAACTAGCGACCCGCCCCGGCTTCGCACGCTGCTAAATTCAAAGTGCTATAGGGAAAACCGCGGCCTCAGACGCGCTACGAGTATTTATAGGCATGCTCTTGCCGCACCGGGCGGCCGGCCAATACCGCCGCAAACTGTAATATCTTCGAAAATATTCACTTAAATCATACGGTGTAAAGAGCCATGTAGTCTATATTAAATGAACAATGTATTGGTTAAAATTGCTTCGAAAATTAGCCATTATTTGTCGTAAAAAGTAAATGACAAAAAAAGTATTGTGGGTTATCCATAAGAGATAGACTTTTCTGTAGACCTTTTCAATGTTTACAATACTTAGTACATTATTTTGATAAAACTCATAGGGTTCAGCCTGCGTTTGCAATTTAAGCGGAAAAAATGTAATTATTTACGACATCACATTAGGAACCTCAAAAATAACAGTACTTCTCCACTATTTAATGGATGTTATTATACATATAAACCTTCCTCTTGAATCACTCTATCTATTAAAAAAAGCCTGAGTTTTTCCAGGAGTTTGAACTGTTGAAATGCCTGTTTCATCACAATTATAAATATTCCTTGGAACATATCTTTTCCATCAAAGAACATGCTTAGTTCGGTTTTATTGAAAGCTGTTATTCTGTTTATGCTGGTCGTCTCCGGTTTCCTAATAGAAATTTTACGTCTAGTCATAAATGCAACCAATCCCGTCCAGTAATTCTGGAGGACTAATTACAATTACAGTGCTTTAAATTCAATTTTTTAGCATATTCAACAGTCACTTTTCTTATTCGATTAGCAGAGCAAACTTAAAAAATATTTGCCATTTTCTTCATCAAGTTTGCTAGCTCCTAGATGTGGTGCTGAGGTAGAACCTTTTAAACCTCCTTTTCCCAAAATTACACTATTGAGAAAAAGAATAACTAAAAATCTTCAAAACTAAGACTAAGACCAATTTAAAGTCTTATTCGTATACTGCAAGATATTCTATACTTACCTTACATAAAATTAGATCAGCGGAGCACAAAAACAAACACCGGCGTATCTCGATTCTACACGCACTCAGGGGCCAGAACGGGGGTAGGGGCGACAGTATTAAAATATTATATTTTGAATATAAAATTTTCGTTAAGTGAAAAAATATAAACATGAATCACACTCTACGCACGTGAATAATTCAACGACACGCGACAAGAGCAACAGAAAGCGAAAAAGAGACTATTTCAGACACAAACACCCGGAATAAATCGATTGCACGAGTTCTTTGCATCCCTAATAAGAATAATTTTATTGCACACTCATGTGTGTATCACGCACCACAGAACCAAAGAAACAGGGATAAATCATTTCGAACAAAAAAAATGGGCGAAAGGATATACTTGATGTTAAGAGAAAATTATTTGTTTTGTTCGCCATTGCGCCGCTTAGCTCACAGCTTCTAAACGGTGATTTGGGAACATTTCACGCGAGATGAATCCTCAACGGAACACAATACGCGTATTTCCCAGGTAAGTGAGAACTATCTTGGAAAATGGTTTACGAACAAATAATAAATAATAAAACCGGTCACGATTAAAGGCACGCGCGTATGCGGTGTGAGCCATGAGAGCGCAATGATGGTGTGCTCTACAGTGATAAGAGAATGCAAAAAGATTCGTAAAATCAGACCCAAACCCGGGTGATCAAAATAAATTTTCTCTAATTCTCAAATATCTATAAACTGTTAAAAATAAACAGCCTAACAATACAGGAGAATCCCGCTAATCCGACAATCACTTTGCAGGGCAGTGTCGGATGCCTAAGACCCCTTACAGTCCGGAATTTCTTTTTAAGAGTAGGGTGACTGCACCAGTAACAAACCAATTAAGCGACATTTTGAAAGTAATTTTGATATTGTGACTTAATTATTACAACAATCATTGCAAAAAAAGGATTACATACTCCTTGTCTACCATAGAATCATGTAGCTTATTCAAATTTTCTTAATAGCTGTTACGTTTTTGGTTATTTAACAATAAATGTGGAAAATCGCAATGTGCCTAAGGTTGACCAGACTGTACCAGCAGTAGACCAGACGTTGAGCCAATAGTGAACCACTCCTTTTTATGTAGTAATCATCACAACTTTTAATCAGTCTACAAGTTTCAAGTAATATTTAAATGCTACAAGGCTCATAATGTTGTTAACTAGTTTAAGAACTAGATAATTAAGAAAAATTTGTATCACTTACACAAGTGTCATAGTTATAACACAATATTTATGAATTAACATGAATCAAAAAATTAATATAAAATAAATTAAAATAAATAGAAAACCATGAAAGTACTTCGGAAAAAAAAATTATTTATTATTGTATTAACTTTATTTTATTTATGACCGTAGTGTGGGGTATATTGTATTCTTGACATATTTCTCCAATTTTTGCACCTTTATTTATTTCATTTATCGCTTTTAACACATTTTTCTCCTTATAGTTAAAAAATGTTCTTTTCGGTGGCATTGTGTATAAAAAAAATGTAGGTGGTCAGTTACTGGAATAAATCCGTGGTACGGATACTACCAGTAGTAAACCAATGGTCTACAACTGGAACATTGTGAATAATGGTATTCTTTTTGTTATAATATCTTATTGCAACATAAAGTAAACCAACATGTAAGAGAAAAAAGAAAAAAAATATCAAAAAGCTAAATCACCAGTTGTAGACCAAATGGTATATTACTGGAAAAACATTCAATTCGTGTTCCAGTAGTTTACCAATGGCAATTATTGATTTAAATTAGCATTTTCAGATTATATAAAACGTAATATTAATGCTTCACAGTCCATAGTACGCAATTGATTAGCAAAGCGGTTACAGAAATTGATATAAACAAAGATTTAAACAGAATTAAGAAAACTTTCCGTCGACGTGTCGCTTATTAGAATGGTCGCTCAAAACGAAGTGCACGATTGTTGTTACGCATTTTGCTTTAAAAACTGATGTGGATGGCGAATTTGTCGGTTTTTTTACGATTATATGATTCGTAGAAGTACGGCAGTTCTATCAAATATAAAAAAAGTGGCGGAAAATTCGACAGAACGTTAATATTTTAATGTGAAAGTGGAAATGGTGCACTACTGGTGCCTGGTGCGGCACTGGTGCACCCACCCTACTTTGTAATCCGACAAATTACAAATCCTAAAGTACATACATATGGCATATGACCATGTCGGATTAAGCCATGGGCGGATTACCGGGATTCCACTGTAATTAGAAAAGAATTGTTAATCATCATGGATATACATTCCTGTGTTAACTTCTGCGTAACAACCATCCTTCAAAAATGAAAAAAATTTCACAGTTTATTTTGATTGGTATTAAAAAGATACAATCATAGATTTCGGGATACAATTTTATAATAAAATAAATTCTAGCACATCATTCGCATTATCTATAAGTGTTATAGTGTGGGTGGGCAACAATTGGTAATACATGTTTCTAAAGTCGTGTGTTGAGTGGTATACATAGATAAACTTGAACGTAAAACAACGTGTTTTTTTCTTTCATCAGCGCGGCTTTAGATTTCGTTTTCTTTTATAAAGTTAATAACAAGTACGGATAAGTAACACTTTAGCTGCAGCACGACGCAGGGTTGGGGTCCTTGCCGGAACGCTTCGTAATGTTAATCCTGGTAAACTCTTCAGCAACAGTTGGATGGATTCCCACTGTACTCATAAGGGTGTTCATTGTCAGATTACTCCTAATAAAGAAAACATGACGAATAATTTAATAGTGTCAATCTCCTTATATTTAGAATAATAAATGACGAAAAATGTTGAAAGAAATAAACTTACTTCACTGCCGCTGCAAAGCCTTGAATTACTTCACCGGCCTGTGGGCCAATGAAATGCATTCCGATGACCTTTTGATCCCCCTCGCGAAGAGCGATAACCTTAAGGTAACACTGAAGAATGCTCTTTTGCGGGATGAAGAACTCCGTTGGCTTGTAGAAGGCATGGTAGATTTCGATGTTATCAGCCCCATGGCGCGCGGTTGCTGCCTCTTCGCTCAGCCCCACGCATGCGTACTCCATAGGGGTAAAGACAGTCGTGGCAACATTATCGTAGTCCATCGTGACATTGCTACCACCGAAGAGACGACGGGCAAGTAGACGGCCGGCATGAATTGCAACTGGAGTAAGTTCAGGTTTTTTCTACACATAAATTCATACAATTATACAAAACAATATTTACTTGTTATTATATTTTGTACTTACATAAAGCACATCACCAACAGCAAAAATATGCGGTACGTTGGTCTGTTCGTTAACAGCATCAATTTTTTCACCATCACTTGCAAGTGTAACACCAGCCTTGTCAAGATTCAGCTGGGCGGTAAGTGCACGCCGCCCAATAGCAAACAAGACAGTGTCATAAGTGTCGGTAAACTCTTCCCCATCCGCGTTTTTGTAAGTGACACTTAGTTTTTCGTCAGCTTGTTTATCGACCTTTACTGGAACACACTTATCCAAAAATCTGACTCCACGCTCAGCTAAAGCAGCTCGGATAAGGCCACCCATTTGTTGGTCAAACTCACGAAGTACCACCGAACGTACCATCACAGTAGCCTCATAGCCGAGTCCTCTCAAGAACCCAGCACATTCCAAACCAATATCTAAAAAGAAAATAAGTCTTAAAATACAGTAATACTAATTAAACTAATTGAACTTACATCCCGCACCGATAACAAGAGTTTTGCCAGGCGGTTTGGTGTAACTGAAGAGATCGTCACTGGTGATGCCGTATTCCACAGCCCCGGGAATTTCATTATAACGCGGACGACCCCCAACAGCGATAAGGAAGTACTTGGAAGTTAGCGTTCGCTCACCCTGCTTCGTCATCGTCATCACCGAGTTGGCATCTTTAAAAGCTCCTAAGCCATTAATGTATTCCACTTTCCTAAATAATACAAATAACTTAAAATTTCGGCAAGTATTATTTGAATAATATCCTTACTTATCACGTAGTTCCACCCTGGTGACCCAGTTGACCGATTTAATATGGTTCTGGACATTCTCCCTCAGCGTTTCCCAATTGTGTTTAATATTGTCGGCATCAGGAAACTCCCAGCCGTAACTTTTGGCATCCTAAACCAAAGAACATTTTACATTTGAATCATCCTTTGTTTAATTTTGGTTATGTGTATGCTTACATGTACAGCTTCGCCCAAAAGTGCTGCCTGGTGCATCAATTTTTTAGGAATACAGCCTACATTCACACAAGTGCCGCCAAGTCCCCACTTTGTTCCAATAGGAGTAGGTGTGACGTAATCCAGCACGGCAACCTTAGCACCAAGGCTAGCCGCCTCTTTAGCGGCCGCCAATCCTCCAGATCCACCTCCAAGCACCACCAAATCATAATCGGTATCACCTGAAATAAATAAATCCGTAAAATACGCACAAATCGAAGTAAAGGAATAATAGCTAACGACATGCACAAACGACCTTTCCGTTTTTGACTTCGGTTTGGGCGACGATCGGCATGCTTAACCCCTCGAGCGCGTTTGAATCGTTTGTGAGGAATTCGCCTGATCACACTGTGCTAACATGAATCGCAAAACGCAACGGAACCGTTAAAACACTCTCAAAATGTTATAAAAAAAAAACAGGAACTTGTTACCGGGAAACCCAGTGGAAATATGATCGAAAATCATTGCAACACAACATTTCGGAATCCGCCACAAGGATATTTTTTCAGAGTGGAAAAAAACTGTCAGCCGTCAGTAAATGGAATGTTATTGAAATCGGGATATCAGGTGTAATAGTGTGTAAAATCTACCTACGCTCGGCTCTATCGTCTGGCATCCTGTCGCCGCTCTCGCCGTGCATTTGCGCGTATAAGACACCGGTGCACGCGAGATTACTAACGATAATGAAAGTGCGGCCGGCGAAGGTCGAACTGATGCGATCTGATTTGCACACACACACACACAACAAAACAACTCAATGTCAATGCTACAACATTCTAGTAAACGTTATTTAAATAGGCAAGAGTGACTGATAAATGAAACATTCATTTAATTGTCACTGACTATGACTTTTATATCAGCGTTTTAATCTTTACTACTTTAGGTTGTACTACAAATTTGATTTATGAAAACTTACGTCGTGTTTGTGTGCTTGCACATCGATAAAAATGTCTATTTCGGTTTTCAAATAGCAGGAAAGACCGGGTACCACGAGTGGATCCGCGCACGATGACGTTCACATTTCGAAGGAAAAACGAGGCGCCCGCCATTTAAATTTCACGCTCTTTACTCCACAAGTACTAGAACTTTCTGATGTGACAAGTCACAATTTGCGGCAAGTAACGCAATCGCGGTTTCACGTTGTGCTCACAACTGAACTACCGATGACAATTTAATTTCAAGTTTACATCATTTTGATGTTCACGCACCCGCTGTAACCTCACAAGTGTTGTCAGTTCGACAGTCAGCTGAGAAAAATTCTAAAGCTCGCTTCACGCTTACGAGACAACTATAGAATGAATTTATTTTTTTCAATTAAAGAATTACAAAAAATACGGATTTAGTACACATAAAATGTGTACATATATTATTATAAATGTTGATAAGATTATAGCAAATATCTTTGAATTGTTCAAAGATGCTTTTTAAGGTTGGTGTGAAGTGGATCCTACTCATTCGCCATTAAACAAAACAAGATCGCACGATTGACTGCAACCGCAATTTTGAGGCGTTTAGTTGCTTAAAGTCTCAATTTCGTTGCGACACGTCGCGGAGCAAGTCTATTGAAAGTGTGAATAATGCGTTCGATTTTGATTACTGGATGTAACCGTGGTCTGGGACTAGGTTTGGTCAAGCACTTGCTGAAACGTGCCGACCGGCCGGAATTGCTCATCGCCACATGCCGGGACATGACAAAAGCTCAGGTAATCAAGAACAGTCTATTTGATAACAATCGTACGACCGAGAACTTTGATTCTTTAAAGTTTATACTTACCAATAGGAGCCATTTTTGCAATGTGGTTTGTTCTACACTTCACAATCAACAAGAAAAGAAACAAAAGATCTTAGGTTTAGATACGAACAAACACGAAGCACATACACGTCCGATCGGAACCGCGTTCGGACTGACACTGGCGCGATTAACGAGGAAACGCGAATACCTTACGACCTCACGGGGTCCCAATGTGAATGTGAACGTTACAGAGGCGTAAAAAATGTCTGGCGGATTACAGAGAACCACACGCCGCGGTGTAATAAAGCGTAATTACAAAATAAGTGTCGTCATGATTCGTCACTACAGCTCGAGAAGGTTCTTTCATATCGGTTATAAAATAAGGCAGTGTTGCCATCTACAACAAAAGTTGAACGAATCTTTCAAAATTGTAAAGCTAACGTAGCACAACAGTTCTAAATATTTTTGAGTATTTTATACTCCAGAGTTACAAATGACAGAAAACTGTACGAATTCTGGTAGATTAGGTTACATTTATTTGTTTTTAGCTCATAGATATTTTAAAAATTGCTAATTGTATATAGATTTTTTTTATCTTCAGTAGATAGATCTAAAATATCTTATATAGATTGTTCAAAATTATTTAAATGGTTAGAATATAAGAACATACTGCGCATTCCTACAATTTGCACTGTCATATAATTTTATCTATGAACGTACTAGAATGTTCACGATCGAGAAAAACAACCGATGTAATGCACCACTTGTGATAGTAACATATGAGTTGGCGTTATATATGTTTTAGTCTCAATCGATGGATTACTCTATGTAATTGAAACGGTTATTGAAATATTAAATGCACATATAACGCACATGCAATAGCCAAATGTTGATTGCCTATTATTTTAGAAACGATGAATGCAAGACGTGCGTAGCCATAAACAAAATCGTTCTCGTCGCAAATTTTTACAACAAAAACGTATTTAGATAATTTTTGGTAAAACTTGATAACATGCTAATCTTACAACTATATTTAATACTATGTATTTATATTTAGATTTAGTTGAATTGCTTACATTACTGTAGTTAATGAAGCAAATTTGACTTTTATTATTTATTAGTTAAAATATTTTACTTACGTTTGTCAGAATCAATACACATCATATTATTTGCATATTCAAATTCGAGTATTTTATTAAATTCGCTGAGTTTAAGACATGTTTCGGGATCTATTGGCAGTGCGACGACACTGCACAAACACACAACACAAACAACACCAAAAAAAAGACAAACATTTGACACAAAAACACTGGTTATATTGAATCCCTGCATGCTTTTTATTCTTTTAACATTAATTTTTTTTATTATAGACGTGTGGCCACGTTTTGTTTTATTGTTGAAATGAACGAATCAAAATCATTACTAGAGTTTAGGCCGGTGTTATCAACAATAATGTTAATGTGAATCGTTGCGATGTTGGGCATTTTGACGATTTCTTTTTTAAATTGTTTTTGTATTAATGAGACGACAAGACAAACGGCAAACGCACTGATATGTGCTGTGATTGCTTAATGTTTAGGTAAACGAGCGAGAAAATAATTGTATTAACCTTGGCTGTTTAAATTTTATGATAATTTAATTCCAGTCGAAACATTCACACTGTTTTTCTGTGAGATGTATGGCATTATAACTTCAAAATATTTAAGAACAAAAGATGTAAATGTGTAATATATTTTTTTTTGTTAAAGGAACTGCAAGAACTGTCAAACAGCAATAAGAATGTCCACATTTTGCAGTTTGGTAAGTGTAATTACCAGTAATAATTAATTCTATTTTTATAACACATATTTAATTTCATTAGATGTGACTGAATTTGATAAACATAAACAATTTGCCACGGAAGTGCAGAAAATTGTTGGAGATGACGGCCTCAATGTACTCTTTAACAATGCAGGCACCTCCCCAAAATATACGCGCTTACCCTTTGTCAAACCCGAGCAATTGATGGACACATTCCGAACCAATACAGTTGCGCCTATCATTTTAGCTAAGGTCAGTTCATTACGAAACTTTTAATATTAGTAGGGTACCGCCGATTCTTACACCCACAAATCTTAACATTTTTAATTTTTATATTTGAAATGTTGGCAGACATTGTTGCCCTTTTTAAAACAAGCCGCACAAAAAAATATCTCCTTACCAATGGGTGTTCAACGCGCAGCCATTGTCAACATGTCGTCCATATTAGGTTCTATTCAAAATAATCAAGATGGCGGATTGTATCCCTACAGATGTTCTAAAGTAAGTTGTATAACTAACCTAATCTAACCTAGATACATCTAATCGTACAATTACCTTCAGACAGCATTGAATCAAGCAACAGCCACGATGCGGATGGACTTGAAAGAAGATGGGATCATGGCGGTTGCACTACATCCGGGATGGGTGCGCACGGACATGGGCGGATCCAAAGCTCCTTTGGACGTCGATCAAAGCACTTCGGCAATGGTCGATTTTATATATTCCATGGGCGAATCCCACAACGGCGGCTTTTATCAATATGATGGAGAAAAAATTCCATATTAATTGTTACAGAATGTTCTCATAATGATTTCAATAAAATTTACAATCAATTTATTTTATAAACTTTGAATCCTCTCTCATTTATATACGTCAATCCCACGGGTGACCCTTAGTGGGTGGTACGCAATGTTCTACCTCCTCTTTTGGACAACCAAACCAAGTTTGTGGCGTTGGGAAAGGTGAAGAAGCCGTTGTAATGATCCAATCATTATCAAATTTCCAATAACAACGTCCTTTGAAGAAATACGTTATACCTAAATACAAATGAATTAAAATCTAACCTTTTTGTTATTAAAACCAAGTATATACCTTTCCATGTAGTAGCAGAATCCATGTTTGAAGGTACGCCGCGCCACCTATCCATCCTCATCGGATATTCGTCATCCATCCTTTTCTTATTCTCATCATACCTCCAAAACATGTTCCCTCTATAAAAATAAGTTTTACCATTCCGTCCCCAATTTTGAACAGCGTCCAAGCTCTCCATACTATCTGGCAAACCCAAATCGGTCAATAGACGTGGACTACCTTCAACAAATGTGGTCCCATCAAAAACCCAATACTGTTTTCCACTAAACAATACAATCTGTCCATCTGGCCGTTGGTACGCAGCGTTTATCTGCTTTACAGAACGAGGTAACAACGGAAACATTTGTCTAAATGGTATGGGATACCCTGGGATAATGTCATATTCCTTACGCAAACGCCACAGATATTCTCCTTTAAAGACAAATAATTCACTACGAAGCGCTGCGATGGCATCGTAATCACCCTGACAAATATCTGGAATATTTGGACGATCTGAACGACGTGTAGGGTTTAATTTACTGACAGTTGTCCTCCAAGGTGGTTGAGTTGCAGGTATATGATGGGTAGGATCATGGGTTTTGTGATCATCCACCGATTCAGAGTCACCGTGGTAATTTATAGTAGACGACCATGAAGTTCTTTCTGTAGTGCTACTGGACTGTGGAAACCATCGACTAGTCACAGTCATTTCTGTGGTTGAAGAAGAGTTATAATATTCATCGTCATAGTTAGATGTTGTTGGTGATGATGACCAAGACGTCGACGTAGTACTCGACCAATTTTGATCGTCATGTTCCAAACGCCTTTTTACTTCATTAAATTAAAATATTTAATATTGGCATTTTGTTTTCTTAATTTATACGTACTGTAAAGCTCGTACATTCCTAAAATGTCATCGTAGTCTAATGTTTGAGGACCACTGCCAGTGTAATAGGCGAACATAACAGATGAACGCACTGGAGAATGAGACAAACCTAAAGAGTGTCCTAACTCATGGATGGCAACTTGGAAAAAATTGGTTCCTATTTTAAAAATTTAAAAAAAATTAAAAACGGGTTTATATTTCAATCCTTTCAAAGACTTGAAATGTAAATATAAATAAATCAATAAAATAGAAATTATTCACCAAGAAAATAATCAATAGAGACTGATTATATTCATTAAATAAAGTGAATATGACGTATGATCTGAAAAGTGTTTGTTTGTTCTACTGTACACCGTGGCAACACTTGTTTATAAGCAATTTCTTGTAAAAAAACTTAAGCATTTGTTTGCTGATACTTAAAAACTATAATTTATTCTCAAGTTTACCTTTTGATGGATCCTCATCTTCAGTCCAATTTTCGTCATCGTCAAAATGAATATCACCACCGAGACTTTGCTGTTCGTATGGAAAGAAAGCATGTGCAAGAATATTTCCAGGCCCGTCAAATGGATATCTAAAATATCATGCGCAAATGTTTTATTCGTTATCTTCTCTTTTTTAAATTAAAAATACTTACGAGTCACCATGATAACCACGCCCAAACGCTACTATAATGTCTGCTTCAGGACTATTTACCCTTTTAAACTGCAAGTTAGCATATCTTCCCCATGTTTCAAGACCTAGTGTAATATATTTAGCCACTATTTCTTCTGATAATTTTCCTGACCAGTTTGCAATACTACAGATGTCAATATTGAAATAATTAGTTGGTATATCAACATGCAAAATGAATTAAAAATCTTACAAGAAAGTAATGCTTCGTTTATTCCAACCTTTGGGTCCAAGAACAAATCTTTTCGAACGTTTTCCGCTTTTGTCTCTTAAAACATCTGCAACGCCACATCTTGGTTGTTGCATTAACTAAAAGTGTTTAACTCATAGATTTTAATTTGGTCTTTGTTAAAAGTCTCAAAAACTTACAGCTAATGTATCATTATCTAATTTTCCTGTTTGTTTTAAAGCACCATATTTCTGAATCTCTTTGATTACAGTATCCAGTCCATCTTCAGTGAATAATGCTGCTGAATTATCACCGTCATCCGGAATATAACCATATTTCCGCATAAAATCAAACTACAAATACACACATCAAGGATATGTGATGTTTGCAATCATTATACAAGAACGTACCGTTTCAACTGATGGAATATTTGAAACCGGAGCACACAAAACACAAAACAATAGATTCCACACTCCCAGGAATGAAATAATTAAAATTTTCATAGTTAATCAATTAAATTGAACACAAACACATTAAATTATTATAGAGTTGTGGATTGAACTAGTTTGCTTCACAACTGAAGTCAACACACAATGTAGTACACAATTGAAAATGCAAATGGCGGACGTGGTAACCGTTCTACCGCTTTACAATAATTTTTATTCTGAGATTTTTCCGCATTTGCACATGCGCGACGACATTGATATTAACAATCAATCGTAATTTATTCCATTGGCATTTTAAGTCCACAACAGTGCCTTAAACTGCTTTAAAATGACTTAATTAATGTATTTTAATTCACTTTTACGCGCTTACGCACTTTTATCGACTTTGAGACACAATGAGACAATGAACGATCGAATATGGAATAATTAAATGCACGAGTACCGATGAAACAAACCAAAATCAAGTTAAACTAACACAGAATAAGAACTAACACAGAATGAAATCAAAAACCACAATTTATTTATTTATAACAGATAGATTATGAATTCTGGGTTTTACACTCGTGACGTGCTAAGCCACGCAACAAAATGCCGATGAAATAAATCCACGATTCGCACAAATGCACGAACCAACAAAAAACTCTCACGAAAACCGGTTGCAATCGATGATTCGATGATTCTTCCGAGAACGTTAAAAAACATCAATATTAACAAGAAACAAGTTTCAAGTGTAAACTACGCTTTAGAATAAAAATCAAACCGTTGTCATAATAACAAATATTATTTGTAAAAAAAACAGGAAAGGAAGTCAAACGCTATACAATAAATATACAATTTATATTTTATGGAGGAAGAAGAAGCCGATGATTCAGAATTCTACCGCCACCTCAAGCAGCAATTATTCATCGAAGGAGACTTAGAAGGGGCCGATGGCTCGGAGACTTTGCCAACCTCCACCACAGAGACGTCCGAATTCGATGCGGACGCTGAGGGCGAGACCTCAACTGACGATTACATTTGCACCTGCCCGTGGCTCGATGAGATCGCGCGGGAACCGTCTGAGAGCGAGGGCGGCGGTACCATTGCGTCGCCGACGCCGTCGGATCTTCTCTATGATGAACTTGTCCATCGTAATTACGTGTGTACGGACATCGAGGGGCCGTCAAGTGATGATTCGCGTCTTACACCCGACCGTGTAGGTGGCGGGATTAACTATATGGTGCCATTTGTAAGAACACAAAAAAATCTCCATTTTCAAAGCTTTAAAACGCCATTTTGATTTTTTACAGAAAATAAGATGGAGTTTCGGTTTTGCAATCAAATCAATGTTGATCAACTTAACGCGTGTTGATCGTAAAGAGTTTTACATTGCCACAGCGCATAAAGGGAATATATTTAATTATGAAACAAATTCAATGCGATATGTACATGGCCATGTAAGAAAAAATCATAAACGAAAAGATTATATCATTTAATTTTTTAAAATTTAGATTAAACCTGTAAAGGCAGTATCTGTAGATCGAACTGGAACATGGTTAGTCACCGGGGGATATGGTGAAAATAGTAAAGTAATCGTCACTGACACTATAAAATGGTACATCTAACATCAAAAACAAAAAAATATCCACTGGACTAACTTTTAATTTTTAGCAAACAGTTGCTAATTTTAAACAATCCACCTGGTGATTTAGGCTCGTTACTTTTGGGCATGGCTCCAGACGCACGCTACTTTTTTTCAGTGCATTATCCTGAAGCGCCCGTAATAAAAATATGGAAGTGGACATACGGAGCAGATAAACCAGATTGTATAACAAAATGTTTTAAATTACTATCAATAATCTATTGTTTTAATATTTAGCTGAGTATCGCATAACAAAAACGCACATTGGTAAACCCTGTCGAATCGTTTTTCATCCGAATGATCAAAACTTTTTCATGATTGCATTCGAAAAGATAATCATGTTAGCTCATTGGGTAAATAATCACACATAATATTTATATTTACTTAATAAAAATTATATATTTCTTAGAATGGCGATGACAATCAAGTTGAAGATGTAGTTTATGTGAATGCAACGCGTAAAATGGGAATAATGACCGATTGTGAGATGGCCATGAATCGACATGAAGTGTACGCATGTACTAGTACCGGATATATTGCTATTTTCGGCAATGTGCTCTTCACCGAAAATATTCGTGAGCATCCCTTGAATACGAATAAAATGTATGTAAAGAAAATTAAAGTTACACGAACCAGTATCAAGACAATGCGCTGTCCCGATAAGTAATTATTTAATACTACTTAAATTTCTCTACTAATTAAATAATTTTTTAGTGTTATTTGTATATTAGACGAAAATGGCATACTGAAGTTTTTAGATACAAATATTCTACTTCTTTACTGGATAGAAAGTGAATTGCCGACTATTCAAGTGATTAGTTTTAGTCTCGAGCATATTAAAAGTGTCAAGAGTAAAATGGATATGAAACTTGGTAAAATATTTAAACAAACGAAAAAATACTAAGAAAAATATTTGTTTTTTGTTTTTGTAGCGGCATCACCAAGCAATCAGCAACCATTTACCGATGAAGATGCTGAAGAAGAAGATCGATCTTTGGATTACGAAATGTTATTGAAAAAAGGAGTGCGTTCGCGGGCGTCGCTTTTACAGCGACCTTTTATCGTACGCGATTTTATAGTCGGTAAAGAAAATTGTATCAGATTGCAACAGCTAAAACTAAAGCATTTTACTGGATTTTTTATAGGTTGTAAAGATGGGCGCATTTTTCACGTTGATATCGTGAAGGATATTTATCAGCCATACTTTTCGATTGCCGATTCAGCTGTTGCATCATTATCTGTTTCAACAGTTCGATCATTACTCTATGTTGCGTATCAAAGTGGACGTGTTACTATCTTTGATTATGATTCGTTGCAATGTGTCATTACATCTACGGCACTCGTGCAGAAACCGCGCCGGCGGCGAATAAATGTACACGAAGAGGAAGAAATCACGGTTTTGAATAGTTTTATACTTATATCAAATATGGGTATGTCAATAGGACATATAAAATGAAGGTAGTTCATGTTATATAATTTTTAAATTTAGATATTCACTTGGTTGTCGCTAGAACAAACGGTGCTCTTATTTTTTTGAGTCCTGATTTGAGGCCAATCCGAGAACAACGATACAAGTTTACGACTACAAACATTGAACGCATGGCTTTTTCAGAAAACAATCAATTTTTAGCATTTTGTGTAAGCATTTATGGCTTATCATGTTTCTTTGGTATAATTTATACTTTTAAAACTTGGCATAAATTTATATTCTAGGATTCTGGTAAAACAATGAATGTGCTTCGTTATTACGAAGAATCCTGGTACATGTACATGAAGTTTCGAGGGCATACCGAACCGATTACCGATATTTTGTTTTTGCATTTTGAAAATCCGAGATTGTATACTATCGGGGAAGATCGCTATATAGTGGAATATAGTTTAGAAGAAGAAGACAAGTAAATGTCTTATATATTAGGATCATTAACATTAAAACTTATTATTTTCCAAATTTATCAGGGAAATGCCATTGAAAAACCGTACGAAAATTGAAGATACTGCTATTCCTTTATGCTTCCTTTACTATCCATCGCCGCCAAACGACGAGAAATATTTTTTCGTGGCAAATAGCGAGGTAAGTTAAAAAGAGAAATAAATGTAGACGGTAGCGATATTATTTGAACAGAACAGAATGATATCGGATAAAACGCGTAAACAACACTTATTGCCATCTACAGATTTAAAAAAAACGAAACACGTCCCCTTACGTAGCTATCGGACACAACAAAACAATTTCAACTAATGCTTCCCTAAAATTAAAATCAACGTGTACTGCAACGGATGTGAAAAATATATTTAAACTTCTGAAGTGAAAAATTACTCAATAATTAGACAATCTCTAATTTTTTCAAATTATTTCTTAATTTTCTAGTACAAATTTAAATTAATCCATGAAAAAACTATGAAATGTCGATCGTTAACGGTTGGCCCACATCATGGGTGCTACGAAACCCCAGTGTCACGAATGAAAGTACTACCAAATAGCAACGGAAAGTTTATCATCTTTCAAAACAGCACCCACATGGGCATATTAAAAACCCCATCAGATGGTAATCCGTACAAACACATTGGCATACTTGCTAATCCCAAGGTAACTTTTTTTTAAATATAATAGATATTCACTACATATTAACTACAAAATAAATCTAAAATTATTTCCAAGTTGGGAACGATCGGTATATGCAATCAAGGAAAGTACGTGTTCACATATGCAAAGGGCGAGGGCGGCATATTGGTTTGGAATGTCAACACAACGTAATTAATTACTACTACCAATAATTAGAATCAGTATAACTTTTTTATGTTGTAATTAACTAAGAAATCGATAGCAGACAAAACAAAAATAACTATTTATACGACTTACGATATTTCCCAAGGTCATTGGACACTTTACATTATATGGGTGGACCAGAGTTAGAACCGTATCATGTCCTGATAGAAGGAGGAGCAAACGGGTGGTTCTTCAAAGAGATTGAGGATCTCTTCTGTTACATACAGATTCTGCATCAAGAAGATGCTTACGCATCGCAGGCGTTCGGCGATCGCATTTTTATTGATGATCTGCCTGATTTAATACGCGCATGTGGATTTTATCCAAGCGAATATGAAGTAAAGTACATTCTAAACATTTGAAGCTTTCGACTAACTGTTTTCTTTAGGTAGAACAACTTATTTATGAAATCCAATATAAAGACTATGAGAAAACAGGCGAATTGCGAGATTCCATCAGTTTCATTGAATTTGTAAAATTATTCCTCAATCATCGTCCAGCTTCTGGCGTCTCCACCGAGGAGTTGGAACATCATTTCAATATTCTACTAAATGGTAAAGATGAATTATCTCCACACGAGTTTGCCAAAAAGATGTGTAAACTAGGTACGCAGCAGTACTAAATATGTAATTAAAATAGAAAAAATATGCTATAGTATGAATATGTTTAGGGGAACCATTTACACCTGAATCACTCACCACATGTCTGGACAATCTAATGTCAAACGAAGATATGACATATGATGAAGATATTTTAGACCAATTGCAGGTAAATTTAACAAAATAGGACTGGCCTTAGTTTTACAACCATATTTGCACTTTAAGCCAATCAACTTTGAATACTTCACAAAAACAATGCTTGGAATTCTTCAAGAATCGGCCTACACCGAAGCGCAGGAACGAGCTATACGAGAAGATTCAGAAAATGATTTAAGCTAGTCTATAGTATATTTGGTTGCGTACATCAATGAATAACTAAATTCTAGGTTATTTTATATCAACTGTACCCACAAATGATCATTCTTTCCTTGTATTTCACACAAATTACTACATTTTCGATATCAAACTTACATTATATCAATTATCAAACAAATGTTCACTATTAATCTGTTGCACGTGTCTATATTTATAAGTTCTATGCATGTACGCAAAATGAACAAAAATCAAACTCAAGATCTGCACAATTGCTAAAATGCTACAGACTAATAATCTAGCGCCAGGCCTCGGTATTGTTTTCAACACGACTATAATCAATCTCAGCGTACTCATACCACTGAAACATATCAGTGATAAAAAGAAAAACACATTGCTCTCTTCTTGAAAACAAATGTATGACGTAGACAAAGTGAAAATATGACCGAATAAGGCGTACCCTAATAGGGAGATTATTTCAGATAAATTTATCTCTGATTTTCCTATGTATTTACTCAAAACGTAAAACAAACCAGGCACTAATAGACAATACAAAGAAAGAAATTCGTTAGGGCCTAGTGACATAACGTGTTTAAAAGAATAGCCATAATTAATTATGGCCGCCAGAATAAGAAGAGCCAAAGATGGGCCTAGAAAATCTACGTTTATCAATCGATAGTGTTTACCTAAAGGTGGCACAAAAGATGCGAATATACGAAATAAAATATCGTACGGGGTAACAAAAAATGAATCTTTAAACGAGGTTAAAGTCGGTTTGTTGGGGGTCTTTTCCGGACTACCAATAAATATAATCGATGACATTTTGTTGTGTTTAGCTATGTAATTTTAATATTTTTAAATTTGCGCCCTAGTTAAAAAATCTTTACTTCTGATTTCTACGCTTGATTTCTTCAATTTCACTCTTGACGTCTTGAGTAAACTTCTGTAACATTTCTTTTAATTTGGCCGGCTCAATTTTATTCTTTAAATCATGCTCTTCAGCAAAATTTTTACTTTTGGTTAACAGTGACGCCGTAGCACGTGCAGCTTCCCTGATCGGACCTGACTGACTCAGACGCTTTACGAGCTCTTCATTATTAGCCAAATATTTAAGTAACAATCGTATCATGCTTATTTTTCAAATTAAATTAACAATTTTCACGTTTAATGTCAAAGGCGAGGTAGCGGTATTTTTGGAGAAGTTCTTGCTTTAGTTTAAGCTGTGTTTTGAGTGATTCTAGGTGTTGAAGTTGTTGCTCTTTGCTGAATTCAATTCCAGGTAATTGTTTGATCTATGAAACAAACATTTAAAATATTTTTATGACTTTTATCAACTCATGCAAAAGTAAGCTATGAACTCCTCAAATACATATGCATAAATCCCAATGCAAAATACAATAATCAATACCTGGGTTCTTGTTTGTTCCAAACGTTTCTGCAGTTCTAACACTTTCTGTGAGCAGTCTTGTGATTCTCTGACTTTGACTGTATTATCGTGATGATCTTTTTCCACACTGTAATAAGTCATACAAGTATACATCGTTAAATATAACCAGCATACCTTGTCAATACTAGTAAATAAAGTACAACACATCAATAGTTATGCAATGAAAAGACGTACCCGCGGATTATTTCATAAATCACTGGAAGAATTTCAATGTTGAGATCATCAACAGTCAATTTGGTTGTTGGCTGCACATTCGCTGCGCTCGAGTCGACAACCTCCATTATAAGCGATGCATTTCTGCAATAAACATCAACTCGTCACAGATTAAACAAACACTGCCTAGTGAGGATAAGCGAGATATAAAATTGATTAAAAATAGACAAATACCTTGGCACTGACAACACTGATAAAAAGGTTATGGCACAGCGCAGCGCGTAAACGAATCGAAGAAACGCGACGACGAAATGTAAAGCTAAGTTACCACAAGTATCAACTTATATAAAGCTTACGTATAAACACCACGAACACAAAGACAATAAAGGTAAAGAAGTTAGGAAAGATGAAAACAAGGTGCTATATTTTTAAATAATGTCATTTATTAAATAATTATTACAAATTACATTATTAAAATTACTAATTGCACATAAATAAATATAAAATAAATACTTAACTAGCGTAAATAGCTTATTTTTCAAGTTTATTATTAATTAATTGTATTCATATAACAATTTAATTTTTTTGCGTTTTTGATTTATAGCATTATTAAAAAATTCCAAAAATATACAAAAACATGATAAATCGTATAAAATTGAGCGTTTGGTTCGTTTTTATTTCGTTCTTTTGTTCAAGTTTTAAAAATTTTATTTGCTACAGCAGAAAATAAATAAATAATCTTAAAATCTAAATGTTCATTTAGAGTGCGCCTTTCCTTAATCAATGGCAAGAGTTTTAACCGTTAGTTAAGTTCCATCTTTCTTCATATGTTTTGTTTAAGCATTTTTTGTAACTAAATCTTTGTCATTTTGTTTCTACATTTTGTTATTTTTGTTCGTTTGTATTTTATCAATAATATTTTCGTTATTTTTGGACATAGTGACTATTTTCATCTTTCAACATCAAAGCAGCGTTCAAAACTTACATTTTCTTCATTACATAACTCACAACTTGATACAATAACTAGATACCTACTACCAATCCTAAGCAATTATTATAAAAGTGTAACTTTGGTTGCCTATTATATATGTTTTTAATATTTTTGTTCGTTTTGGTTATGTTTTGAGAAGAAAATAAAGTTTTGCGTGCCGCTTCGTCTCGAGAGTAGATTTAATGTTCGCCGCCGCCCTTAAGACCCATGGTAGCTGCGAAGAGCGCAAAGAAGAAGCCTGCCAAGCCTGTCGCTCCTGTTAGTAACACCAAACCGCCGATTAGGATTGGTACCAGCGTGAAGAACTTCAGTTTGTAGGCGAGTAACAGAGGCAGCATGTATTTCTTATACTTTTTGTAGTATTTATTCTTTTCTCGGCCTTCTTCCACTTCATTTTCGAGGTCTACGCGACCAATACGGCTTATGCTGTTTGCTGATTCTAAAACAAATAAAAAATGTATAAATAAAAATTATGTTTAAAGTGCTAGAAAGATAAAAGTAAACATTTGTACAAAGGCGTTCCGAAAAAATAATGTTGCAGTCTAAAGACCATAAAATAGTATTCAACAAAATACCGAATATCATTTTAATTAGTAAAACCACAAAAATTAGCAAAAAAATCTTAATTTTATTAATAATAATGCGTTCTGCACTAAAAAACAATTAATTGCAGATTACTCTAACATAGAATTCAATTTATACTTTCAAATTTAGACCGGTCTAATTTACAAACACGATCTACTATTATTCCAACACACAAACAAACTAATCTACAAATAATATTACGTTCCACTTTGAATGTACTGCGTATATTATTACTCAAATTAGCTATTCTACATTTGTGATTCTAATTAAATTTTTAATTTATTTCTTATAGGTTTATAACTAGGTAGCGCGCATCTTTACATTGATGTATATTTATAAGTTTTTGTTTTATTCGTTTCTCCAATTGTTTTTCTAAACATACGAATGAATTTATTTGCGTACCGTGTGTTTTGTGGCGCATGATAAATAAAATTTGCGGTGCTCATTGCGGTAGCACGTCCTCGGCATTCGTATAAATCACAACTCTTCAAATTGAATTTGAATGGCTTTTTGATCAATTTAATAAATTCCTTCTTACATCGTAGAAATTTCATGCGTTGGGAATCGATTTATTATGGGAACATGAAATAAAAACATTCACAGATAGACCAATATTGTGTTTTACGGGCATATAAACTTATCTTAGTTGTTTTTTTAACAAGATAAGATAAAATTTATTTCCAGCAAAACGCATTGCCGCCGCTGCTATTGCAACAAATTAAAAAAAAAACATTTAAAGGACGTATAGTATATATTTGCCCCTATATCGCGTCCGAGATGGTCAAATAAACCAACAAAATGAGCTATAAACTGCACTAATGCATATTAAACACAACCAATGAATATCTAATGATAACGCAAACACATGCGCTCAGGAATTGTGCATGTAATTACCATCAAAGATCTCTTCAGAAACGCTACGATTGTCAGACAAACGACGGCAATAAGCAATAATTTATATTGTGCTGCGGGAGCGGAATCTCCACATCTATTCCACAAGATAAAACAATATACACAGTGTTTGCAAAATAATCCTAAAAATTAAATTTAACTAATGTTATATTAGCACGTATCGTATTTATAGAAAGTAGTATACGCAAATGAAAATAAAATAAAATGCACTATGGATACGCCAATATAATAAATAACAGACTAATATATGCTTGCGCACATTGAGTTAGTTATTTAGACGAGTAGCTCAAACCTAGACCTAGCATATTACATATTTAAATATTTATGTATTTATAGTAATGTAAGATGTATGCAGAGTTAATGATTGAATTTATGCGCGAACATTCGCATACTCGCGACGTTCAAATATTTTGAATTTCATTTGAATGAAAACCGGGTTACAACTTGCTATTTTCCTATCTTGTTATCTAGAAAATTTGATGTATGCATCTTAAATATCACATGCCATAAATAATATCTTATTTATTATTGTTTTATATAAAAATACTACTTATACATCCGGAATCATGATGATTAATGCGTTGATAATTTAATAGATTGGATTCCTATCAGTATTTACTAATTAATTAATAGAATGAATTTAAATCTAATTGAATTTGTCTTTAATTATCACTTTGTTTCTTTGGGTTTTATTTTACTGTTTATTTGTTGTTAAATTTGTGATTGTAGGAAAGGAATCGAGTCAAATGATGATTGCGTTTTTATTAGTGTCTATTACAATAAATAATGAACGCAGGATGTGTACAGGAAATTCTTTTTTTGTGGAAAATTGCTTCTGGATAATAATTTGCTTAGATTTATAACATCATGAATTTTATTGTGACATAAATACTCAAATCAAAAGAAGTAAATAAAGAGAAAAGAATTATTTGTTGAATTTCGCGTAAAATACTAAAAAATATACAAAAAGTGAGGAGGATATAAAAAAATTCCAAAAATAGAAAAAGTATTATTAGTTGCCTACTCATAGAAATTTAACACGATAGCGTAGAAATTGAAAATTAGAACTTTCTGTGTTTACTTTGCAATTGGACTACTTGATAATCAATAATTATGTTACAATTGAAGGATGCAAACCTTTAATAACTGACCTGTAAACATAACCTTCCCATTCTTACAGTAACCTTTATCATTAAAACATGGCTAGAACAACTTTGTATGCAAATTAAATTATACACCACAACTTTACCATTTGCGTAACACCAAAAAAATTAAATATGTAAACACTATGAAATACGTTGCTCTATAATAAATAAAATTGTGCCAAGCACCTAAGAAAAATGTTAGTTTCGTACAGCGTAATTACATCGATGGGAATTATGCAAATTAGAAGGTGCTCGCTGAACTTGCTACACTTTCGTGTACTCAATGGAATGTTAAGTAACTAAACAGCTGAATGGCTGTATGACTAAACCGACAGAACTGCGGCGGAACTGCGGAACAACAAATTAATGCACTACCCGAGTGCCCGACAAAACACTTGAGAGCAAACATTATTAACAATTATGTGTTGTAATAAAAATTCTTTGGTGTTTCCTAATGCGCGTTATTTTCGTGTCTGGCGTTTTGTGTTTTACATTTACGTGCAACAATTTGAGGAAGCGTGTTATGATTAGCCTAGTTTTATAATTTTCATCGTTTTCATTCGGGTTAAGGTTATGTTTATGACTTTTTTAGAAGCTTAAAACAATTGTTTTCATTTCTATTCAGTGAAACTAAAATATATGTAATATGTTGTGAACTAAAAGCACTATAAATAAAAAAATATATAAAAAATATTGCCACAATGCAAATTATAATTTATATTATTATAAAATTTTATATAAATACTTATTTTCGGTGCAAATCGAGCATTTTCATTAAGCATATATTTAAACCGTAATAATCTTAACCTACAAAATAAAATAACAAATAATACGTTGATATCTTAATTTTTTATTTAATTTTATGCTAGTTGGATAGTTGGATAATATTATAACATTAATAGCTATTTGTTTTATTATTTAATAATTTTACCATGAAGAAAAAAGAAACAATACAACATTTAATCCAACTAGCATAACCCAGCAAGACGCCAAAACGCTAAGAAAGATATCCGGCGCGACGCCGCTACGAACACCACTGCGCATTTCTAAACGCCAGTTATGAGAGGTGTACAGTTAGTTAATTATTCTGATGATTTTCCTCCTAAAAGTTTATTGTGCGTGCGTGCCATTATCGCGGCGCGCTACCGACTGTGTCCAATGCTTCAAATAAAATTTAAACAAACCAGCTTAGCGCACAGCTTACACGTTATGTTTTAAAATATACAATGTAAAATTGTTATGTTAAATTAAATAAGTAAATATTTAGCAAAAAATGAAGCAAAAACCTTCAAAATTAAATGTAGTAAAAAATAGGTTAACTAACGGTTCAAAAGTAACCTAACCTAAAATATCTTTCAATATTCTAACTGTAAATCTTGTAAATTTATTGGTTTATTCTATTTCCATATCTAAAAACTTAATTTAAACATAAGTAAATCATTAAAAAGAAATAAAATTTAAAGTGGCAACTAATACAACTAAATAGATAAGCTTAAGTGACATAACCTACATAATAAGAGTGAAGCAGTGATGAAACACAATATGGCGTTGTTGGAATAGCATTTTAATATCATAAAAGATCAGTTAAAGTGTGAGTAAAAAATGAAAAGCGACGATGACTCGATTGCCACCTTTCAGCATTCATACATTAACATTTAATGGTTTATAACCTCGCGACGCGAATTGTTTGAGATTCCTTGACGAACCGATAATCTCGACGCCGGCGACGACTACAACGCCATATGGTGTACGGAAGAATTTATATTGCACACTATACAGGATAATAGAAACAATTATAAATTATGTAAAATTATGGTATGTAGTAAAATATTTTTGTTCCGGTTGCGCAAAAATTTAATTTTTGAGAAAATTTTACTTTTAAGGCATAAATATTGTTCATTTTATTAAATTAACATTAAAAATGCTAAAAATAAAATATTTACATTCTGATATAAATATATCGCCGAAATAGTTTATAAATTGATACTAACTGAATAAATCTTTAATTAAACACTCTCTTAAAGCATTTAAACGACGCCAGAAATGACACCGTGTGAAGTATAAAATTCTCAACGTATCGTAAGTTTTTAACGTTCTAAGAATATTTGCAATAATTCTAATTCACATTTATCGCACGATAAATTCGAAGTAAAACCACGCAAGTTGTACTAATAGATAAAAAGCAACTCAGCGCGGTCAATACTCATCATTAACGTTAACTGATAGACTTATAGGTTATTTACCAACGTACACGCTGGATTTTTCGTTTTCAACTCTTAGGAATTCTGTTTTGTGTGCAGAAACAGATGTTCGTGCTAACAGTCTCAACGCGCTTTACGCATTACGATTAGACAATTGCTAATGGCGGCCAGTGCATGTCATGGCGTCTCGTCTACCTACCGCATGAGAAACAAAACACAATCGTGCCCACGTTGAAAGGCTTCTATAATAATTCACGTACATTTAATATTATTGTTTCTTATTGAATTTATCACAACACTCTGTATAATACGAGTGAGTAACGGCCAACTTTTCTAACAGTTCTTTCAGCCATCAGCGTGGACTCGACCGGACTTGAAGCTCTAAGCTCAAAGTCGCTGCGTTGTGCGAATTTCAGAAGAGGACGCGATGCGCACGCTCATTGTGCTTGTTAATTAAAATGTTTAATTGTGCGACACGCGGTAATGTTGATAACAGACGCGTCTTGCTGCAGGAATAATGACTTGAATGTAATTCGCATTTATAAATGTGTGTTTTGTTTGAAGCGATTTACGTTTGAATGAAATTTGAGGTTAGTTGGTGTCCGCGCATGCGCATTGCTCATTAGATGCTATTAGTTTTACGATTGGCGGATCTGCAGATGAATATTAGTCGTTTATGCCCGCGCATCACATTTCCGATCGGCTTTTACAAAATGGCCGATGAAAGGAAATCGCTAATGGTTGCCAGTCGATCTCGATCTCGATCCACAAAACATATTTTCACATTATACTCATCTACATATTTATTACCATTTAACATACCAAGTGTATCAAAAACAAATTTACCTCTATTTAATCATCAACAACATAAGTTACCAATAAATTAATTTTTTAATAAAACAAATTATATTTTAAAAAAAATTGTTTTTGTGCATAATATAAATTGATAGTATATGAACTTATTCCGGATATGTTATTATCAAATGTAGAATGAATTTCACCTGTGCATATATATTATGATTAGCGACGAGTGTTCATGAAACGTGAAATGGATCACAGCTCGGCCCACAGACGTCGACAACATGAAAACAACATAGAACAATTCGCGACGCGGATCGATTTTTCCTCGAATCGTATCATGTTGATTTCTACCAAGAAAATAACGCTAGCAACATTGTTTTTACGTCCCATTAAACATAAACGACGCTTTTCTATAAGTCGCGTCGTTTATTTTCTTCTTTATTTTATATTTGCAGTTACAAACACATAAAAATATATATTTTGAAGTTTTATCATAAAAATGCACTCAACATTTTCTTTTATCTTTTAAGGTCAAGAGGTAAATTTTTTATAAAAGTGCAAAACAGTAATTACTAAGACTCAGTTCGTTGATTTTTATTTTCTGCTTCTGTTTAATACGTTCTTGTGTTATAAATTGCTTTGATCTTTAGTTCCGCAAACCCATAAACCCCTAATAAACATTGCTGCAATTTACAGCCTGGTTTAAATCGCGTTGCAATTACATAATTACTTTATTTTCTTCATTTTATTACTTTTTTGATTTATTTCAGTAAAATTACCTTGATTCATTGGTATCCGACTATCAGCATCCCAACTAGAAAGCCGACTGGGCACCATACGCCATTCACCCCCATTTTGCCACATCCTTGACGAAGTGGCCATGTTTGAACTGGGCGCATGTAGCGCTTTAGCGCTCCTCGCCGATAGAGGGGCAACTGTCGTCGCTGGTGACACCGCATGATGATAACTACCACTTGTCGTGGCAGTCCCCTTAGCGTCGTTATCAACAAAATGTGTCACCGTCGTCGCCGCCATTGCAAATGTTAACAGCAATGGCGTCACTGCGATAAGACCCGCGATTCGATACACTCCGTACATTTTTATAATCAGAATGTCAAAAATATGAATAAAATTAAAAAGTCACTGCCGAAATATCAAGCACGATTAACTGACGTGAGGGCACTGCGTTGTGCGCATCGATGAGTTGCGAACTGAAGAAAGGCTGCGCGTTTGTTTCGGTGCTTAGCACGGTTGCTAAGCGACTGACACCGGCCGAACACGAACGACCGTTGAAAAACCACCGATGCGTCGTTGTTCACACAAAATATATTGAAAACATAAAATCCTCAAGTGCCAAATGCGTCCTTTATTTATATCAATTTTATATTTAACTGTTCACACTTTTTTACAAACTTATTAAAAATATTTATTTTAATGTGTATAAAAAAAATATTGAGAGCGATGTGTACGCTCACAACGACGCCGAGGAACTGATACGCTACCGGGGTCGTGATAAGCTTATTAAAACATCGTCGGCGAGAGTCGCTTCCTTCCTACTACCATCACCTACCTACTACCATTTCTTCTTCTTCTTCTTGTGCTCTGCGAATATAGTTCAATGCGCGTTCAATGTGTTACTGTCGAACCGCACCGCACTGGGGCGCAGACAAAGATGGCGCGACGAATATAGATATTAAATTCGCGGTGGCCGCACGAAAAACGAAAGATTAGGCCTGGTGCGTTTTACTTTTTCCGTTTCGGCGCACGAGACGGCCCCGCTTCGCTTAATTCGGCCAAACACCGAGAGTTGAAAACAATAGAACACATTTTTTGCACAAAACGCTATAACTTACCTTTTAAGAAAGAAAAAAATCACACACATACAAAAATAAGGTTATGTTTAGCACCTGCAACTAATGCATACGTTCACATAGCGGCATCTACATTATCGATATTACAGTTTCCTATAATGTATATTTTACTACTTGTCAATTTAATGTAACATTTAGTATTTCCTCAATTCACGCATGACTTCGCACTTTGTGAGGCCGAAGAAGCACTGCCGATGTCCGAGCAGGTTACGGTAGGACGAACCCTGCAATTTTTGCGGTCGTCCATGTTGCCTGTTTATTTTTCTATTCCAATTCGGGCCCCCATCATATACTAGTATAGTATTATTATGTTATAGTTTATAGCGGCCATTAGCGGCATATCGAACAATCGACAATCGACGAACCGCATCGATAGTCGAGTAATTCCTATCGTTGGGCGTCTAATACAAAGGTCGCATATTTACGCAAAAATATTATACGTGTAATTTGCAAGCGATAGACGAATTGAAGACATTGAAGACAATTACTTGGATCGTTGCGACGCATAATTATTGTCGCAATGAAGAAGTCCGCGATTCGCAATTAGCAATCCTTGCTTCGATGCGGATGTGCGTAAAACGGGCGCCAGTGAAAATATTTTAACCTACATCTGAATGTCTTCTGTCGCACGCGTTTAAATAATATAATTGGTTTGCTTTTTGTGCGGCATTCTCATAGAAGTGAAAATGATTATTTGCAGGGATCATTCCCAGTGATGCCATCTGTAAAAATAATTTAAAGTAAAATTTAATTTGCAATTAAAGTTTACAATTTTCATGGTTTGTAGAAGAAGTATTGGTTTTCAAAGTGGTAATGCGTGAATTTTATAAATTTACTTGCGAGATGGGGTTTTTGTATTGACATGTAGCTAACAGTTAATTAGTGCAAATTGAGTATGTGTCAAGAGTAATATCTATAGATGAAGAAGACACGTGTATAAATAAGTACGAGTACATAAAAATGTAAGGTTGCATGCAACAAGCCACATAAATTACATATTAATTGGTATGTAACCAGGTAGCTACGAGGATACCATAGCTATGGTGTTGATGTTTATTGCGTGTTTGCATCTTGTAAGGTAATCGCCAACATAAAGTTAAACACCATTGATATGATATATTGAGTTTGACAAGTATTGCATGCAAATTGCACATGCAAAGCTGTTTTTGTAAGATTTACATTAAAAATCAATGAGTTACGCCCTCTAGTGGGAGTAAATTGAGTAACATATGCAGTTCTGCCACCAATGCAACAGGTGCACTATCTAACTATTTTTAACCTACAAATTATATTAAAATAGTAATAAATAAATATATAACAGGTGTATTTCTCTTTGCTCTTCTGAAACTATAAAATTAATGGGTGGTACTTTTGTTTTCAACTTAGTGGTAATTGATTTTTCGCTTCTTTTATTTCTTGTTGTAAGAGATAGATGGGCAAAGATTGATTAGTTTTTAATTGGTACGTAGAGTAACCAAAACCGCAAAGTTGCCCAAGCACGTTTGTTAATAACACTTTTTTCAAATTTCAATGAAGCGTCAAGCCTAACCTCAAAATATAACGTCATAGCACATCTTCTACCTACACACTCCGCAGCATTCATGATATGCTTGTTTTGGACCAAATTTAAGACCAACGCAACAAAAAAAATTATTAATAAGACATAATCATAGCGTTAGTGAAGGAACATTGCTCGCATCCATTCTCGCTTCTAGCTAATACAAATACCAGTAATCGACATTTTTTTTCTAATGCATTTTTTTCGGTTTGACGTTATGCGATGTGACTTAAAAAGCTCTTTCTTTAGGCCACCAGTAAAAGTCAAATGCTTAAAGTAACTTTGCAAGTATGGTAAACATAAAAGTAGATTAGGAGGGCTAATTTGTGAAATTTTCTCTTTTAATCTAATAATTTCGGTGTCCAAAATTGTCGGACACGAAACGACAGCGAGCAAAATTAGGAATGAGGAAGCGTGCGAAGACGTGTGCATCGTGTTCAACAAGCTAATTGTTACAATTGTTGCAACTAGTAACCAAATTCTACATTTTTAACATTAAAAGACTTAAAATGAACAGATTTCTAAATCTAACAACAATCATAAAAAAAAGTTTACGTAGGTATAATTAATCATTAGTTATGAGGTATTTTTTCTGCAAATTTTGGTGCTTGGTCGTAATATTTTTATTAATTAACAATTTTGTAACCGTTTACTTTAATTGTTAATTAAATATTGTATTTATAAATAAAAAATGTGTTTTGTTTCTTGCAATAGAAACCCAAAGTAGAGTAAATCTAATTGAAACAATGTTATGTTGTATAATTAAAACAAATTAAACCTGGATAAGAAGAAAATTAACTATAAAACTTGATGTTTAAATATTTAGCTGTTTCAAGTCGTAAGAAATTAGTAATTTGACGGTAAATGGAAAATTTAAAAAAAATAATAACAAAACATTCGGTCATTTTCGCTACGCGTTATGTTCGTGTGAGTTCGTGTAACCTACGTCACACTGAACCTCAGCACATAACTTCAATGCAAAAATACTTCACTTGTGATTAATATCATTTATAATGCATGCAAAATCATCAAAGAATTACTCAACCAAGAAGCACGTAATTACTCGGTATCAAGACAATTTATCTAACGATCGCACGTGTGAAGATAAATCTAATTAATTGTGTTTATCATTTTTTCATCAAAGTCGATAATGATTATAATTGTAAGTAAATAAAACCTTCCTACTGCAAGGTATTGCAGTTTCTTGTTGCACAATTTTGTAGAGCAGACTGGTGACCAGACACCATGACCTCTTGTCACTCAACGGATCATCTAAGTTTAACATGGTCTCACTATGATGATCTCTTAGAAAATTGCAGATAAACAAGCAGCAACTGGGAGCGAAGAAGCAGGAAAAACAAAAGAGTACAAGAGTTTACGACGCCGTTCACATCCTTGTCACATCTGATTGGATGATAAGCAATTAACTGCAAATTGTGTACAAAATCACGTAAAATTTTGATTTAATATTTATTATTTTCAACAAGTGGACAAAATAGGAAGTATAAAAAAAAGTAATAAGTATCTACTTAACCTTAGCCCACGATAAGTCAAATACCAACTAACTTTCTTATGTAAACACTTGTCGCACACGCGCATGTGTCTGACCATGTCTCTATTAATTCGATTGCGCGTTATAGCTACACCATGACGAATTCAATTATTCCATCTTGGGCCGTCCGCCGTCCGTCTCGCTTTATTCGCTTGGTCATTACGGTAGGCAAGCGTCCGTTCTGGATGCCGTTATCCTGGCGACGACCCAAGAAATAACCGACATTCAACCAACACATTTGTCATTCAATCGTTTGATTCCATCGATCAGTTCAACGCTAAACGAGAACTGCAGATACAGAAGTGATTTAGTTGTAATATTTAGGTGTACGAGTATGATGGTTATCTGCGTCTCGTGCTGATTATTAATTTGAACAATTTTGAACGAAATTGGCCGAAACGTACAAAAAACAGTTTTGGAATATAAATCACCTCTAAATAAATTCCTATTTATGTAGGATTAGCTAAAATATTTTATCATTAATTAAAACTGAAGATTCTTGACTCTATTAAGTCATGTTATGTTATAGGTCTGATTACGCTGACCAAACAATGAGGTAACGTCCAAAAAATGTATCTAACGCATAAATATTAATTAGATTTGTAGCTAAAATTTACATTTTATAATGTTTTATATTTATTGCCTCATGTATTGCTTTATTATGTGTTTATTATGCGCGCTTGCAGAATTTAGTAAACCGCTTAAACATTACTGAAATTTAAAGTTGGTCAGCGTAAACAACAGCCACAAGTTATTGTACTGGTGCTAAGTTATTCAAACTTAACTTGAGTTTACACTGAGTAGGTACAAGTCAAAATATTCTACTTTCTGCGAGCGATATGTGATGTTTTGTGTGACTTAAGTCGAGCGCGCACGCGTGTATCGCTTCGTTTCCTACTAAAAATGCATTGGAAATTACAAATTAAGTGTAGTATAGTAACGTACATATCGTAGTATAAATCGTAATATAAGTTGACTTAAGTTGAGTCAAGTCCAAGTTTAAGTTCAGCGCGGATTTGCGTAATCAGACCGTTCCAATGGTCATTTTTCATGTTTTAGGATTGAGGATGATTATTGAACAAACAATAATTTAAACAAAGGAATAACAAAGCATGTGGATAGATGTGATATATCTATAGATGCTAGAGATATAAATCAATTTGATTGTTATTCATGAGTTATTAATTATTAATTTCATAATTAATGCCCAAAAGTTTTCTGAAATACACCAAATAATCAATGACTTCATTAACTTATATATCATATAACCATATAAGTGATATTAACGATTTCTTCAGGAAATAAATTAGTAGTAAATGTGGAATTGTTAATAACTAAACGAAAAATAATAAGGTTTTCATAATTTTAACTTTGTACGATAAAAAATTTAATTCTCAATTGATGATATAATTATAATATTTGTCTAAGTAACTTTCTAGTAACTGATTATTTACCCAAGTATAACATTGAATGTCACTCGAATTGAAATTCAATTAAAATTATAGTTTTGTATAAATTACTGAAAAACTCTCTTATTCATAAGAACGATTTTTACATATATTCAATTAGTATTTTATTCTGAAACAAAATGTATAAATATTTAATTATATACTATTTTTACTTGCATGTTATACCACAATTCCTTTCAATTTGCTTTTTACTATAAATAAATACAATTTTGTATTATTCTCACTTATTTTTGATGCATAGACATAAAACTATTTTGATTCTACCTTAATTTATTTAATTAGTAAATTAGTATTATGAATTAGTGCGTTAATTACGTTAAAATTATTTGTTTACTACAACAATCATATAACTCAAACGAAAATACCGTAATGTTAACAATAATTAATAATTAAATAGAATTTATTATTATATCAATAGAAAGTATCATCAAGAGCAACTGTCAAAAGTAATAAAGTAAATAACTTAGTTGATACTCGTAACGAGGTAATAACAATTGAAAAATTCATTTTTCTTCTTCACTGTGAATTTTCTATCACTTATTGTGATTTGCCGATAAAATAGAGCAGAATGAACGTGGAATCTTGAAAGTCGATTTAATAAACATCTCAAGATTTCTATAAATATCTATGAGGAGTAGTACAAATCAATGATTTCACTATTTATTCAATATTTTCCAGAAAAATACATTAAATTTACGCTATAAATTGAATTTATTACCGATTAGCTCCAATTCGTAATATTAAATAATTCATCAGGTAATAATATGGCAGATATCTAATAGTTAATGATCTTATGAAATTAATTATAAGTATATTATTCGGCGAGAAACCGTTAAGTACGAGTACCCTCGAAAATATCAAAATCACTTTATTATTCAAATTAGCTGTTAAAAAGCATAAAATTAAAATTGGAACTATATTTAACTAAATTGTTATGGATAGATTTCCTTAGCATAGGTTAGGTTAGAAAGTACAAAATTTCCCGCAATTATAAGAAGCAGTAATAGTATTTTGTTATTTCATTTAATTAGTTGAAGATCTGTGCTTCAATTGTTTCAATTTCATGGCGAGAATGTAAAATAATTAATGCTAATGCATGACTGATGTATGCTTCGATTTGATGAGATATTAATTTCTATTGAATTGCCGAGAGCGCGCTAAATGGAACATGAGGAAACATAAAGTCTGAGATGAAGATGCAGAAAATTTGGTCAAGAATTAACCCGACAAGATGATGAAAGTTGAAGAAATCATCTCGAGCCAATGTAAGTCAAAGATGTTTTAAAGGAAATGCAGAGCAGGTTGCACACACTCGTAGTGCAAGTTGCTGAGTTAATGATGTTACCAATGTAACCTACATGATTTGACTAAGATACCTGAATGCGTGTTTGACAGTGACGAAAAAAGTGACTGATAATAGAGACTAAAGATGTGATGAAGAGGAGAAGCAGAGAAAATGAGAACTAGGAAGACGCGCAATAGACATATGGCATTGTTAACTTTTCATTACATATGTTATTTTCATCTTACTATCGGTAAACGTTTTGCGATTTAGTGTTCACTCATAGCAAGAAAAATTCGAAGATAAAATGAAAACAGATGTTGCGAATGTGCTTTAAGCAAATTTTAGAATTTGATTCTACAATCATATTGCATGTCAAGCAAATTCTTTAAAATACACTTTACTTGACAATAAAATTACCCAATTTCTCGCTAATCAATCAAAAAAACAATTATTTGAATTATGCTCCAAAAATCTTCTATAAAATAATTATAACAACAGGATTCAAATCTTAACTTTGTAAGTAAAACTGTACAACATTCTTCAGTTTCCAAAAAAATGTCTCCGAGAGCAGTTAAGTTACCAACTCGTAAAGTCTGTATTAAATTACTTATTTTAGAAATGCTAAATTTATATTGCGCATTTGCTACAATTGCTTATAACGTTCAGAACGGAATAAGTTTGAGTACTAATAAAATTAATACGTGGTCAAGTATGAGTATAATATCCGGCGTAAGAAATTTAACCAACAGGTGCACTAATTTCAGATAGCATTGATAATTCGCCGGTTTACAACCAAGATGAGAATGTTAAAAAAGAAGAGAATCGAGTAACAACAAAAGAAATTAATCAGATTGAAAAATTGACAAAACGTGATGAACGATGGGCAACCAGTGAGAATTCTGGGAATTCACGGTTTGATGGAGACAAATTGATGAATGGTGCGTAGAATAATCAATTATTTACTTTAATGTCTATTAGATACTATTATGTAAACTTTTAAGTTGCTTGTCATATTTTATTACAAAAATTACAAAACTCATGTTCTGCTAATTTTTTGGTTAAAATACTAAGCTATCAATAGTTTTAACCTCTTATAACCTCAATTCATATCATTTTAGATATTTCTGCGCCAAGAAAAGGCAAAGGAAATAGATATCTATGGCCTTTAGGCATTGCCATTGCAGTAACCGCAGCATCAGCCCTTGGGATGTTCATAAAAATAATATTTTCTGTAAGCATGTTATCTACAATGGTGAGTACAGCGAGCATCATCCTCTCGCTGCTATTTTCCTTCGGGAAAGGAAACTCGCACCGCCGTTTCGAAAACGCAGCGTACAACACTTACGCTGCACCAGATCAGTATTTCGCCGAGAAGCGCATGGACGCTTCGGACGCACACATTGCCGATGGAATTACACGCGATTTCACTACTGAATATGCTAATCTGCCAACCTTGTAAGTTGATGTTAATCAAGTCAATCAACTAATCTCACTGAAGAATTCAAAAGAGTAGATGCAAAGCAAAAGCGTATACGGATATAAACATACGAAATAAAATAAACCATATAAAACAAATTGGCGACATATTTGCACACTCCTCTAAACGGATTATCATCGACATCTAATTATGTGCTTAATTACCAAGCAATTTAATTGTGGGCGTTTGCGACATGGGACTTGTGACTAATCCTCCAGAAATGAAAGTATGAAATGTAGAATACCACTAAATTCGATTAATTAGATACTGATTTAATAAACATCAAAAATCAACATGGCCGACAGCTCTGCTGATTGTATTAATCTTCGTGAAGTTTTCACTCGCATCGAAGGCGTGTTTAATCATCAATTAAACGCGTATATTTCAAATGAGTAATTAATATTCACTTGTTTGAGATTAATGTACGCTCGTGGAAGATGTGACTGCGTATAACTCACTCACAATTAATCTTTGTTTGTAAATAAGTTATTGAATCCGCTAACCACGAGCACTGCAAAAAATAAAAGAATATCGAGTAAAAATCATGTACGTAGCACCATCTACAACAAACTAGAAGAACTATATTACTACCAACTTTAAAATTTTTAATTTTTAACTATTATTTCTTTGTTTTGTTGTAGTGAGTTCAGATTAAAACAATAAAAATAATAAATGTTAAAATATTTAATTAGTTTTAACTTAAAATTAATTAATATTTCAGAAAAAATTGAAATTTGATAAAAATCAGCTTTATGTTGTAAGCTATGCAACTTTAACAGCTTTTTAACATGCCCAAAACCTAATATAGTTTATAACTTATAAATTTATTATATGCTTTGAACCATCACATTTCACAAGAAATTGTTTATTGCCTCGATGATCACGTTGATCGCTTGAAAACAACTCGTTGCCGTGTTATTGTCTAATGTTTTCAATGCTTTTCATGTTAATGTTGCGGTCGTCTGTAAAAAAATCATCGTAAAGTTAAATTGCACGTAAAATCGTTCAAACTGCAATAACACACGACAAGTTTTTCATTTGATCTTCACTGTTCTGCACAGTTCCGCTCCTTGATTGTAACACTGACACAGAAATTCTGAAAATTTCTGATTTATTGCATCAAATTGCATAATAAATTGCAATCAGAATAAAACATCAAAACATTCAGTTCAAGTTGGAACTTTATATGGTTAGTTGTTGATGCAATGTCGTCCCGAAAGGTCCTTATTGTACTTTTGTGCATTTATTGTGTTTTGTGTTTATTTGTAATGGTATCAAGTGAAGAAAATGTGGATTCTTCTGAAAAAGAAAGTAATTATCAACTTGTCCAGTGTTTCTGATGGTATTTAACATTTAAATAAACATTTATTTATTTATAATTTGTAGTGTCTGGAATGTATGAGCCACGAAGAAGAAAGAAACATACGAAATATTTTGTGCCGTTGTTAACAGCTGCGCTGTTAATTAAATCAGTTTTGTTTCCGTTGGCTTTCAAATCGATGGCGATAATGGCGGGCATTTCTATTATCTTAAGCACGCTGAGTTTGTTGGTTTCAAGCATGGTTGGGTTTGCAAAAACAGCAAAAGATTCTTATCAGCATTATGCTTTAAGAAGAACACAACAAACTGCAAATGAAAAAATTCAAGAAGCAGAGGTTAATAAGGAAGACTATACGATTCAAAATGGCGGAAATGTGGCAGTTGGAACACCACAACTTGGAAATCGGATTATTTTGAGTCCTAAATTGAAAACTTTTAATGCTTACGGATATAAACATCCAAATTATATTTAATTAAAAAAATCAAATTATTTAAATGATATTAGTTGGAATATATGTTTAAAATGGTAAAATGAATAAATTATTTATTGCTTTTTAATGTTTTAAATTAATAATTTTCATATCTGTGTAGTTGTATATTATGTGTGAAGTTTAAAAAACGGTAATGAAAAATGATTCTAGTTCAATGTGTCAACGTTGTTTGCGTTATCACCCGAAAAGTTGGTTTGCCGCGCCTTGCCTTGACTTAACTTAACTTAACAAATTAAGGTTGAGCAAACAATAAGTCCTCTTCCTTCTTAGCATCATCAGCGGTGGTAATATCGAAGTAAAAAATAAAAAAATGCCAAAAATTCAAACTTGCATAATATTTTAAATTCATTGCATTAATTTATTAAACAGCATCTTTGCATATAATCTTTGTAATGTACAATTAAACTTTTTTTAAATGAATAATAGGTTTATATTTTGTAAAAATTCAAAAACAAAGAAAACTTAAATTTTTGTTCAATTGATATTTAAACAAATATTTTAAACATAATAAATATTTGAAATTTCAAGCTACTTTAAAAGATTTATTAAAAATTTTCTATCTACCGCCTGTGAGTACTTTAAATCTACCTAAATCTTTAGTTTACACAAATATTTCATATTCCAACGCAAACATTTTTTATAAATTTGTATAAATTATTAGTAAAAGAGTTCAAAGATCCGATCCGAACGGTATTGTCACACACATTTTTCTCCGACAACCAAGCATTTTTTTCAACGCTTAAAACTTTAAATATTAAAGTTTAATGCCGAAAACTACAAACGTATAAAATGCCACGCAATAATACATATACGATTCACGTCTGATTGATTATTTATTCATGGGATGCGTGCTCTTACTCACATCTCACACATCTCTACATACACAGGAGATCATGATTATAGCAGGCTTAAATATACTCAGCGGTTTTGTCATGGCATACATTTTAGGGTGGGCCGAAGAAATACTTGTGCGATGACTTTTCTTCACATTTCTCCGCATTTCTTATTCATATTCTTTCTTTTTCATTATTCATAATGTTCCATGTTCATTGGTAATACAATTATTGAATTGAGAATTGTTTTTAAGGTCGTTCAGCAATGACAATGGCAGTGACACTCAAACAATACTAAATCAACATACTTATTTCATACAATATTAATAAAGTGGTTCAATTACATGCAGAGTAATTCATTAAAATTTATTTTGCTTTTGCGTCATACAAAAAGTAATTTTTTACTGACCTAATTTTGATTAAAAATCACTTGTTTTGCCTAAAATCAGCGCATTTTCTTTTTTTCTCCTCAGATTATTTGTTTCTGCATGAATTGTGCATTTCTCCAACAGGTTGTAGACTCATTTAAAGTCAAACATTGTTTTGAACACATTTTTACCTCTTGTTTCACTTGTTTCACATCTGCTTTTAGAGGTTAATGCGCGTTGGGACGTGCGTTTAAGATGGCGGATTTCCGGAGCGTGTGCGCGCATGCAACATATGCTACCTAACAAATTGGAAACAAAACAAGAACAAAACAAATACAACCGTGACCATGCACAAATGCTTAATTGATATTCGAGCACGATCGCAATTTAACTATCAATTACAAATAGTTTTAATGATTGACTACTTGTAATAATTAATTATTTACAACAACAAAAACTCGTTAAAACTTCAAATAGCAAGTAATAAAACTTACTTTAACGCGGTAGTTACTATGGTTCACAAAGATTTTTTAGGTTAAACTGAAAATTTCACTCTGTGAAAAACTTTACCTACATTGTTTAAACAGTAAATTGTTTACGTAGTTCAATGTGTATTCGGCTTCGTTTGTGTATAATATAATATAATCTATGAGTATTTATGAGTTTTATGAATGAACGCCCAAACGCACGCATAAATGAATACGGAATGCGTAAGAATTTGGTAATTTGTCGGGCGGCTGGACGCGCCACACCGATTTCCGTGCGGTTTCTGGTTCAAGGACAAGTCGAGAGTTCACGTCTTCACGTGCGGTTTCCTCGTAAAAACCTATCAACCTACTGCCCGTTGACCGGTGCCCCGATCGACGATGCCTACGACAAGTTGATGACACAAATACAATTGATTTTTAACGAGATTTTGGTGTGAAATTTTAAATTTCAAACAGGTCCCATAGACTTTGTTTCAAATTATAATATTGTCTTGATAATGGTTCTACTATATGGAGGAAACTGTCAAAAAATAAATAATGAAAGTTTTCACACGTTTTTTACTTTATTTTTTTGATGTAAAATATAAGAATTTAAGTTTGTTTTCTGTGAATTTTAGGTTAAAACAATGATGAGAATACATATGAATATACAGGGTTAACAAACAAAACCAATAATATCTTAACCTAGTTGGGACAAAAACTGTGTTACCCCAATTCTTTTCCTAAAAATGGCTTTTATATACATCTCCAACTGAATGCATGTATTGAAATTAATTATTCTTATATGTTAACCGAAAATTAATGATATAATCATAAATTTAATGAATTAGTAAATTGCAATGACGTGAATTGTCAAAAAACGGTCCCCATTTAGCCATCGAATCTGGTTTAATCAAACATCGTTTTCGTTAAAAGAGAAATTGCTTTGTTTGTCTGTTTGCCGAATAGTTTTGTCGTTTATCACGCCCTGCTGGTCAATTACCACGTCGCCATTGAACGCCACATCTTCGGCACACGGTAAGGCACGCGGAATGCGACCGCAAACGAGAACGAGAACGTCGGCCACATCAACGACGCAAAAATGACGAAGACGAAGAAAAAAAGAGAATAATGTGTGAAATGGTGTGAAAGCATAAGCATCTCTTCCGTATTGTTGCCGTATGTGTGTATGTGTGTGTGTATGTGGGTATCGATTTCAATGGTAATTTCTTCGTTCTTCATTTTTCGTGTTCACATCTCGGGCCTGATGCTGTGCGTAATCATGTAAATGTATGTAAATAATCTGGATTGTCAACTCTTGGTTTCGAGTAGGTCACCCGGAATGGCTGGCTGCGGCGAGGCGGCGAAGATGTTAATTACATGCGCAAACACACTCGCTCCTCGACGCGGACTCCCTTTTTCATTGTTAACTCACGCACTCATACACATACACGCAGAGATGGGTGTCATATGTGCACGTGCACGCACTTGTCCAAGTCACCTCTTGGCAGGTGTGTCGGGTGTCCATCCGCGTTGGCGAGTAGGGGTGATCAGAGGCGACCCGCGCGACGTATAAATATTACGGATTGTTTCGGTCGATCAGTCAGTTCGAGAAAAACTCAACTTGAGTTCACTACCAATAGTTTTGTCTATTGTTGACGGAAGTTTAGTCAAGAAGGAAGCAACAAGTGATTTTGTGATCAAAGATGGCATTCAAATTTGGACTTTTGGGGGCTTTCCTTTTCGTCGCTGCTGTTTCAGCCGTAAGTTTATTTTATACTACCAACAGGAACTAGTTTTATAAAGCTCAGTAATTTTATTGTTTTTTAAGGAATATATTAACTCTTAATTTCATTTATTTTGAATTAATTGATAGATTTAATATGATTTTACAATTTAGTTCAGTTTAAATCGTATGTGTTCATAGTTTAGTATGATTTTAAAAAGTATTCTCAAAATTATAAGCGATTATAACATTGTGTTTGGTTTGTTCGGTCATAATTCGACAGTGCTTAATATACAACTTCACATACCTTCAGTTGCGCCTTCAGTTTGAGAACTATATTAACCAAACAGCCAAAAAAATTTTATGAAAAAGTTTTCATCAAAATTTATGCGCTCGTATTTTTTTAGGTTCCTTTATCAAATGAAATTGATGGATCCGAAACTACGGTAAGTCTTATTTTGCTTTCATATTTACTTGTTTAAAAGTTTTTATACTTTTGGTTGCCTTTTGGATAAAGAAAATTTAAAAATCATTTTAATTTTTAGACCGATACCTTAAAATCTCTTTCAAAATGTGCCGAAAATGGCGGACTCACAGGAGTAGTAAACTGCGCTGCCGTCAGGACATTGAGATCCCTTCAACTTTTGACCAGACAACCATCCTTGGAAATTCTGCCAGGAGTAACACTAAAGAGGTAATTCAGTCTTTTACTGCATCTTTTCAAACGTATTTTAGACGTCTTACAAACATTTTCGTTATTTCCTGATACGCCACGTGCCAGTTTTTATCCCAATACACAATCTAGCATTTGAAATCAATACTAAATCTTAAAACTTAATTAAAACTAACTTTTAGAAAAGTACCATGAATTTGAGCTTATTAGACATAATTAAAGCGACACCATAAAATAAACAGCTATGAACATAAAAATTCCTCACGGGTTTTCATCTGATTCGATTAAATTTGATTTAATTCATGCTTAGATTTGTTTGTTTCACTATTTTAATCTTAATTAATGAGTATCATCTCGTTAAAAAATTAAAAATTCAGTTTTTGTTCCACAAATTCCAAAATTATTAATAATAATATTAATAATAAATGCATATATTTTAGCGATGATACTACATCCCAGCGTGTAGGCAAAGAACTCTCTGATGAAGAACTCCCGGCTAATCCCGAAGAGCGCGCTGATAAACTCTACGAACTCCTTTTGGAAAACAGCGCTAAAGCCATCTCTGGTCGCACTCTGCAAGTGAAACTCCCTGAAGATGTTGCCGTCAATGTTGCTCGCTCTCTGGAAGAGGCCCGCAAGAAGAAGAAGGGTGGTATGTTCCCATTCATGCTCAAGATGGGCGGAAAATTGGTTGCGTTGGTTCCTGCCGTTATTGCTGGACTCGGTCTTCTGGCTACCAAGGCACTCATTGTTGCTAAAATCGCCCTGGTTCTTTCTGCCATCGTATTCTTCTCCAGCGGATTCGGCGGAAAGGTAAATACAAATTTTCACAACCCATAAATCATTTAAATACGACGATCACTAATTTCTTGCAATATTTTAGGGCTCTTCAATTTTGGGATCCCTCGGAGGTTTCGGAGGTGGACATGGTGGATTCTCAGGTAATAACTACAATTATGGTACTGGTTACGGCAGCTACAGTCCACCAACATGGACTACTAACTCGGTTGGTAACTCAGGTTCCTACCCGTACGCTCGCTCCATCGATGTTGCTGAGAACGCTGCTTCTTCGTCAAACTCCGCACACGATCTGGCTTACTCCAAACAGCAGTAGAGAGCGCCACGTAGCACAAAGCAGCAGAAATATAGCCTGCTTGAATGTTACCTGTGTAAGAATCTGACTTCAAACATAATCGAGTGTTCCACATAGCGCATAGCACTTTGACCACTAGTATCTAGAGGGCGCAACGCGTCCGACGACCAGTTATTTATTACTTAGTATAATACATACAGAATGTTACACTAAATTAAATTATTTAAATTATTTGCGACAAAATGAAGCAAAAATTAAACTAATGTAATTTATTGACAATAAAACGTTATATATAAAATTATATATACTCTGTTTTAGTTTATTCCGATAAAAATAGGTGGCGCAAGTCGCATAACTAATTGTCAAAATAAATTAATATGGCCAACGCATTTTTTAGTGATTTACGCGTATCATTACAAGTTATTAATTAAATGTTAAAAAAGTTTAGAGAATATCAAAAGGAAAGTGTTTAAGTTTTTGTTACAAGGTGAAATTGAGTCAAGTTTACGACGATAATAAATTTCTCTAATTTCGAGCATTTCGCAACTTTCCCAAAAATGATTTACACGCACATAATAGTAGTTTAAATATAATATTAAACTAATTCGTATTTAAATTTTTGAATTAAGTTAAAAATTATTATATCCAAAACATAAATCCAACTGTATATCAAATCATATTACATTTAAATTATTTATTTGAAACTGCGTGTAAACGCAAAAAGTGTTTTTATTGCTTAGTGCAGTTGGAGTTGTTCGCAATTGCTCAGAATTATCCTGGATTACAGACGATTGTATGCGATTTAATATAACCTCACATGCGCGCTGATATGACATACATAACCTCAACGTGTCATTATGCAAATTGTAGCTACGTGTACAACCGACTCGGGCCGAGTGAAAGAAACTGCAGCGTGAATGAATGCATGAATTGCTATTCATATTTTGCAATGAATGAATGCAAAAATACAATTGAGTTTAAGATGAAATATGAAAAAAAAGGAGAAAAATAGTTGCAAAGAAAGACTTTCGCATTTTAATGAATTAACACAACACACAACTGTTATTCCTTTGTAAGACATAAATAATTAAAGTGTGAGAATGGCGTGATATAAGTATGCATTGATGAAGTATGAAACACATCGGAAACAATTGAATAATACTATTGAATAACATTGAATAATACTTGGCATTAACATTGAATTGTGTTGAAAATACGATGAAAACAGAGCATGTTATTGTATATTATGTAACTAGTGAGTTATGTTGGTCATAAACTATGATTTATTACAGTGTAAAATACGAAATGTGCCAGAAATAAGGAAACTATTTGTAACTATTTATTGATAATAGTATATTAAATATCATGTATCAACGTTGTTAAACACTCGATTTGTTAAATGCTTGCTACGATCGTTCTCAATCTATCACGTGACTAAAGCCTTAGTTTAGCCACGTGACGCTTACGCAAATTTTTCTACTTATCTTCGAAATTCTCTCGCACACTACAAAGTAATGTAAGGTTATAAATTTCGTGCAGCGCCTACACGCGCAGGAACAGGGCCTACTTTATTTACAAGCAGCAGCATGGCATTTTATATGGTCTGGAGCAACACCGTAGGCAAATGTGCAGATGCAAGCTCCGCTCAGTAGATAATGCCCGTGAGTAATGTACTTTACTCACGGCTTGGCCATCCGTATATAAAGTACTACTTTTTGGGTCAAAAATTGTGGAACAACTTGCGCTTTGTAGGTGAAAGTAGAAAAAGTACTTTACTTACGGTTTTGTCCGCCCGTATTTAAAGTATCACTTTTGTGTCTAAAAATTGTGGAAATTCTGACTTTATAGGTGGAAGTAAGAAAAATATTTTATTTAAATGAAAAAAAGTTTGCTGGATATAAAAGTAAGTCAAAGTAAATTAATAAAACTAAAATGTAATCGTCAAATGTCCGTTAACTCATTGCCAATGTCAATTGCAACGATTTAAATTCAATTTATCGCCTCATTACATTTTCGCTCGTGCTAAAAGTTAAATGCAATCGAAATTTCCATGCAAAACTTGTAACACATGTAAATTAACATTTCTCCTATATTGCCGCAATGTTTCAAGTTTAATTTCTGCGGAACACGTCCAAAAGTGTCCGAATTATTCGCACCGGACATGATTTCCATTAATCATTATTCCTACCAATTGTAGAATTGTGTAGGTTTCAATTTAAATTTCTGGAAATGAAGAAAAAGTTCACAGAAGTTATAAAAACATCAAACAATCCACAACATTTCACAATTAAGTCAAGCATTATTCAAAATGTCTTCATTAAAGTTAAAATTTAAATTACAATTGCTATTATTTTGTTTTATTATAACAATATGGTTAAAAAGTGTGAGTGGGGAAGTAAATAGTTTGGATCGTACTTTAATCGGTGCTATTGACGCTTGGGATGCAAAAAATCCAAGTTATAATCTTCTGGGAGGGTGGATGACACTCAAAAAGACTAACAACATAATGGCGCAAGAGGAAATGGGTGTACAACGTGCTAATGAAGACTTTCTTGGCCGTATTTCAAGATTTTTAAGCTCACATCAAGTCGAGATGAAGTTTCCATCAGCAAAAATTTTGGGAGGTAAGAATTACATCAGTACAAAACACTTTGTATGTTGAAGAATGTTTAAAAAGAAAAAAAATGAATTGAACAAGGTTAAATTATAAAGATGTGCATGAATATTTATAAACAATTTGCATAAATTGTGGCAATCGGTGCAAAAATGTGCTTCGAACGGTTTTTCTCTAATTTTGTCCAGAGATGAATCGGTTTTGCGCCGAGCGTCGGTGTACTCTGTTATTTCAAACTATTAATATACTCCTCCAGTGGAAATGCTCGAATTAATTATCATTAAATCATTGAACTAGATTCGAATCGATTTGGTGCTCAACGACCAGATGAGCAATGCATCTAAGATCGTATTTCAACGGTTTTACCACTTTTTCAATCATTTTTTTTAAATCTGAATTTAAAAAAAAAAACGATAATTTTTTTTCATACTATGCATGTAAAATTAATTTTTAAAGACCTAAAAAAAACAAAATTAATTTTTAGAATTCAATTAGTATTTTACCATAGATATAATTAGTATTGATGATTTATTATTAACATTTTTAAACAATATGACAATTGTCCCCAGATGATTATGTTAAAATGACTACCGTTTTAATAATAGTGTCATCAAACCACTTATGTAGTCCACTAGAAAGGAAACTTATTTAATTAAAGTCCGGCCTACATGCTCAATGTATATAAATATAGGAATTTACAATTTGTTTACATTCCTTACACTAGAATCACATTAACAGAAAAGCCCAGCGCGGAAATGCTTGAAAATTTTACTTTTAATTGTTTACACTTAACATTTCCACTATTTTCCAATACATTTTTTTAACGTAAAGTAAATGAACTACATATAAAAGTATAGTTGTATAACATTAAAACAGATGGCGCTAACTGAGTTATGAATACTCTCTAACCTCTTTGATTGAGACGATTGCGACGAAAGGCACTATATTTTTTGTACATATTACATTGGAATTAAATCAGTAAGCAACGGTGCCAGATGTTAATGGTAATCTCGGCGTTAATAAATGGAATCAACACCGCATCGCTGAAGATTCGCGAGTGCGAGCGTGCGCAGCGTTGTTGATGGATTTTAATTGCGCTCGCAATATTTTTATACGCTTCAATCGTAAACGGCCATCCGGCCGTCATTGCGTTTTTTGTTCTTGTAATATTACACACATTGCAATCAAAACTGTCCAAGATTAATACAATTCATGAAATGACATTCATCAATAAATGTCAAAAAATCAGAATTATTTAACCGCCATTTTGATTTCTTTAGCTATTATACTACTAAAATGGTACCGATTGCTAATTTTGTTAACTTTATAAAGAAAGTTAATTTAAAATATTATAATTAAGAAAAAGTTTTTGATAATTATCTTAGTGATTACTAGAGCACGTAATATAATTCGGTAAAATCCATAAATTTAATATTTCAACAAAACGAAATCCTGTAAACGGAACAAATCAATAATTTTAATACTAATTTATAACTGCAATTTAACACGGACTGCATGAAATAAATTAAATTAAAAATTTTGGAGCAAAAATTACAATTCTGATCCAGATTATAATAGAATTCGTGAATGCGCGTACGCAAAACCGTGAAATGCAGAGCGATGAATTTTAATGTCACAACACACTCACAACGCCTCTAATTACATGAGTACAGGTGTAATTAACTTAACTTTAGTAAATTGTTTAATTTGTTTTTCAACAGTATTTATGGGAATTTTAATCAGCAACTAGAAATAAATAAATTTAAAAACTAAGTTCGGTCAAGCCGACTTGTACTTATGTGTAGTCATGTGTGGATGTGCTGATCGAAGAAAGATGGATAGATTAAAAACCGAAACTAACAGGAAATTTGCCCGCGATGCCGTCGATGTGTCGACCGTTAATCCAGTTTCGTCGTGAATTTGTTCTAATTTATCACATACATTATGTCCACACTTAAATTACAATTTAATCATTTTTTCACTGGAACACAACTGAACTAAGTCAGAAAATATGAAATAATGCTACTTAAGTAGTAAAATACTGACTTATTTTATTTTAAAAACATGAAATAAACGTCCAGAAATAGAAATGTGAAGTCAGTTCGAAGAATATTAGAAAGGAAAATTGAGTGGCAGTAAAATTTCAAGAACATTTGACTTAAGTCACTTTTAGTCATTATAAAGCTCAGAAAATAGCCAATATAATTTTCGCGTAAGTAACTTGTGTGAGTTCTTTCACACACTTAAATACTAAATATCAAATATCTTTATCAGCCGTTTGTGATCGTAACATGGCTGTCGGACGGTCGACGACGAACTCGACGCGGCAGGTGGAACGCACGCGCTTTTTGTACTCAGTGTGTTGTGGCTTAAACACAGCACTCTAAACATTTACTCAGCTACACACACCTTCAGGTGTAAGTGAGTCTACTCAAAGCTAGCGGAGAGGTGGTATCGGTCTTGGACTTGACTTGGCGTTAAGTCAGTTTCGTTCATGGCGCGCATTTGCCTTCACCTGGGCGTCGTTCATTCGGGTCACGGGCAAACGGAAGTGGCGCCGCTCACTAGGTCAGTAAGTTAATAAGCGGTGCGACGCGGTGCGCCCCAGACGTGCT